ACCATCGCCGATCCTCAATTACTCTGACGCCGCCCTCAAGCCTTTCGTGGACAATTATAATGTCAACCTAGCCCAAGCCAAAGCAATTAAGTCCGGTTTGGACAACGATGCCTTTACCCTGATCCAGGGTCCTCCCGGATCCGGAAAGACCAAGACAATTGTTGCCATGGTCGGAGCTATTCTGAGCAATGCCTTCGGCAAGCAAGGTGTGGCGATCTCGAGGCCGACAACGATTGGCAATGCTAGGCCTCCTGCCAGGACTACAACCTCGAAGAAACTGCTGGTTTGTGCGCCTAGTAATGCCGCCGTCGACGAATTGGTCATGCGTTTCAAAGATGGCGTCAAAACGGTGAACGGGCGCCAGGAAAAGCTGTCCGTCATTCGACTGGGAAGAAGTGACGCCATCAACACCAATGTTTTGGACGTCACATTGGATGAACTCGTAAACGCCAGACTGAACCAGAGCTCGCGCAAAGAACCTGGGGAGACTGACATGCAAAAGATCTACATGGAGCACAAAGCCGCCGACACTGGATTCAAGGAGGCTCGGTCCAAGATGGACCAATGCAAGGCGCAAGGCTTGCCTGTTCCTGCAGAGCTGGAAAGAGAATTCGACTTGCTCAGGAAGAAGAAAACACAATTGAGTCAGGAGATCGACAACGCGAGAGATAGGAACCATTCAGCGGCACGTGATGCTGAACTGAACCGACGGCGCGCCCAGCAAGATATCATTGACGGGGCACATATTATTTGTGCCACTCTCAGTGGTAGCGGTCACGATATGTTCCAGAATCTGAGCATTGAGTTTGAGACCGTCGTCATTGATGAAGCTGCCCAGTCTATTGAATTGAGTGCCCTCATTCCTCTGAAATACGGGTGCTCGAAGTGTATTCTCGTTGGTGATCCTAAGCAGCTGCCGCCAACGGTTCTGTCAAAGGTTGCCTCGAAGTTCCAGTACGAACAGAGTCTATTCGTGCGGATGCAGGCAAATCACCCTAGAGATGTGCATCTCCTGGACATCCAATACCGAATGCATCCTGAAATCAGCGCTTTCCCTAGCTCTGCATTCTACGACGGCAAGCTACAAGACGGCCCAAATATGCGAGAGCTTCGCACTCGCCCGTGGCACCAGAGCGAGCTGCTCACCCCATACCGGTTTTTCGATGTGCAAGGTCTACACCAGAGTGCCACCAAGGGCCACTCTCTGATTAACATGGCGGAGTTGAAGGTAGCTATGCAACTGTACGAGCGTCTGGTGACGGATTTCCGGGAACTTAGCTTCGCACGGAAGATTGGCATCATCACCCCGTACAAGGGCCAACTGCGGGAGTTGAAAAACCAGTTTTCTGCCAGGTTTGGGAGCTCTATTCTCAACATGATTGATTTCAACACCACGGATGCGTTCCAGGGTAGGGAGAGCGAGGTGATCATTTTCTCTTGCGTCAGAGCTTCCAACAAGGGAATAGGTTTCTTGTCCGACATCCGCCGTATGAACGTCGGTCTGACTCGTGCCAAGTCCTCGCTTTGGGTGCTTGGAAACTCCCAGTCTCTTGTTCAGGGAGAGTTTTGGAATGGACTGATCAAAGATGCTCGTCGGAGAAATGTATATACCAACGGCGACATCTTGAAGATCCTCCAGAAACCGCAGTTCACTGGATACAAGAACGTCGAGATGGCAGATGCCGACGGGTCTGGATCGGCTATAATTCCAGGCGCGTCCATTCCTCGACCGCCCTCGGTCTCTCTCGAGAATCTTCCGTCCGAATCCCCCAGCTCTGCACCTGGATCCGGGAAAGGAACCCCTCCTGCTCCTTTACCAGACGGTCCATCAGGAGGACCCAATGGCCTGGACGAGAACCGCATGTGCGGCTACTGCGGGAGCTTCATGCACATGACTCACAACTGTGACAACACCGACGCAAAGGAAGAAGCTCAGGGCACCTGCTTCCGATGTAGTCAACCCGGACACACCCGCGGGAACTGTACAGCCGAGCGCTGTGTGGAATGCGGCCAGTTCGGGCACGTGGCTAGTAATTGCCGGACTCCTCGCAGCCTGCCGAAGCACGAAAGAGCGCGGATCAACCGTGAGGAACAGCGCCATGCCCAGATACAAAAGCAGAAGACGGAGCGCCAGCGAGCTCGGCAGATGGGTGGCCACGACCCCAAGGTGCCAGTCATCCAAGTCACCTCTGGATCGGAGGGCAAGGAATCCAAGCCGCCCAGCAAGAACCAGAACGACGGCGCCGGCGGGCCAGTAAAGCGCAAGCGCACCGACTCCCCCGCGTCAGATGCTTCGAAGGCTTCTCGACCCCGCAAATCCGACCAGCAGCAGGGACCGCCTAATGCTCCTAAAGGGCCACGGCGCAAGATTGATGCGAATGCGCCATCAATGACTGATGTGAGTTTAACCTATCCCCACGACTGGCACACTACTTTATCGAACTTCAACTAACCACATATTGCACCAGGATCTGGTCAAACCCTCACGGAGTGGACCCGCATACGGCCCGATAAAGCAAGGCGAACCGCCGCGTGGCCCACGATCAGGGCAAGGCCCGTCACAGGTAAAGACCCTTGAAGAAAGGCTCTAGTCTGTCACAACGCTGACATGAATCTTCTGCAGAGCAATCCCCGGCAGCCACTACCTCCACAGCAGGGACCGGGTAAGGGTCCCCGACCACCGCCGCCCATGCGTCGGAAGAAGGAAACCGACCCGTTCATCAGACCCAAACGGAGATAAACGAGCGGTGCACGATGTGATCGATTTACACCGCACGATCACGATCGCTAGTCATTTCCTTTCTTATCTCTATTTCCCACGATCTTCATCTCATAATAGACGTATCACATGGGGTCAGGTCAGGAAACACCGCATAACTTGAGATGACGGTGTGATACGTTGACCATTGCATGCATATGAGCGTTTAAGGAACATTTCGTTCCATTTTCTGGATGTGCCCTTATTGAGATCTTCCTTCTTATCTGTCCTCCATTTTATTATTTTTCATTTGTTGCTCCTACGGGGTATTTTTCTGCCGAATCTCTTCTCTTTTTCCCATTCCAAGCAAAGAACAGAGAAGGGAAAAGAAAGAAAAGCATGAACGAGGCGTTCTGGCGATCAAATCATTTTGTCCTACATATTTCTGCAGTTCCTTGGGCGGGGGTTGTTGGCACGTTAGACATTTGAACAGCATACATATCAAAGCCAAGGAAGACCATGATGTTGTTATGGTCCTTGGGACATGAAACACATATATACACACATGCATACATACCCCTTTGACATGCATAAAAGATATCTTATCCAGGTATTAACTGGGTGTAGGAATACATTAGATGGATACTATCCAAATAATCCTATTCTGTCTACTATATACACCCTCGTTTTACGCAGGCCATCAGGCGCGGCAATCATAGAAGCCCGTGCATCGACACACATCCATACACAACTACCTATTTTTCTTGACGGTGCGAATAAAGGCCATCCCTTCCCTTCTGGGGTTCATTGCTCACTCACCCCTCACCTCGCTACTTTTTTTTTTCACTGAATAAACAGACCAACCCGAGCACGTCCTGAGCAGATCCCTCTTCGCGTGTCAATAGATTATCTCCTACGGCTGGTATTCCTCCAGAACGAATTCTCTGCTCTCCAGTATCTTGAAAACTTGGGAATTTCCACCACCAGTATTTCGTCAGTTCAACGGGGTCTACTAGTAGCTACCTTAGCTGTCGCTCATCGGGGCGGTGGTCTTTTCGCCTTCCTCCAACTTGAGAAATAACAAATAAAAATTCAAAATAAATAAAGGAAAACACAATCATCCAAGATCCACACAAGCTCACGGGTGGCCGGACTTAGGACGGAAAGGAGGCAGACCCGATATAGTAGCAGTTCGAGTAGACTCCCATTCGTTCCGCACAGGAAGGGGCGTGATGGGCGGTTCCAACTGCATGGTGGCCAAATGCAAGGGCGAGGATCAAATCATGCCGGATATTGGAACATCGGGAGACTGAGAGCAAGGGTTCCATCATCTGCAGATTGGTAACGATGAGCCCTTGATCGAACTGAGGGAATTGTTCCTTTGAAGCCCAGGAATTCTTTCATCGAAGAATGAACTGATACCAGATGGACGCACAGCGGACTGACAGAGACCCGCTCCCAGAAAAGTACGCTATGGATTAGTACATCCCGCGCGACGGACGCCTCCGAGACAATTGTATCTTCATCACCTCCGGCTCCTGTCTCGAAATACTTCCTGTCCAAGCCGGGCTGCGTCATTATGGGCGGATTCCCACCTGAGGTCGACCCGGAGGGTTACCACAACTAGCGCGTGCCCTACGAGGGCAAAGAGGGGCGCATCCCGTTTCCGACGGTGGCCGATGATCTGGGCGATCTGGTCCACGGCCTCTTCCTGTCGCCTGCTGAGTATCATGGGCGCGTGGTGCGGGTTGATATCCAGGGAAGGCCACTAGCTATTGACATGACACGATCCTAGTAACCGGGAAGAACTCTCGCTGCCAGCCGATTCTACCCTCGCGGGGAGGCATTCGATGCGCGGGGCATCCCACCCACAGCTGGTTCCAGCGGGATTTTGGAGGCCCAGAGTGATGGCCGAGGTCACGAGGCGACGGTGTACATATATGGTTGATAGAAAGCAGTCAAGCTATTTATTGATAAGTTCCAGTATATCTGGGGAAAACTGTGTGAAAGACATCATGACAGTCACGGCATGATCCCAAGAGTTTCAACCTTGACAAGTGAATGGTATAAGTAGTACATCATCCCAGGCGCTTAGTACCGCGCCATTTAATGGCCTGGAGTGTTAATCGCTCCATCTCTACCCTGTCATGATACGGTCAAGGTTGCCGTGGGGTTACATGCGTATCAAGAGTAGGTCTAGCCAAATACACAACCAGATCATTTCGGCTCATTCGACTCGGAATACCAAAATGCAATAGCTAATGCCATAAAACAATCCAACAGACAGAAACAGTTTGACAGATCAACGGTCCCGGGCCGTGACACGCAATAGAGCCAGGATATCCCGAATGCCCTTGGAGGGACCAAGCAACTGTTCCAATCGGGTCACCAACTCAGCTGCCTCATCGAGCAAGGCGTCTAGCCGATCTAAGCAGAACTGGAGGCTCCCCGTGGACTCCATATACTGCGTTGCATAGGCCTTCACTGACTCGTCTTCTGTCCGCTGACTCAAGATATTCAGCAGTTGTGTATTGCGTGGCTGGGCGTGGATGCTGTGGATGATTGGGTAGGAGAATTTGCCCTCCGTGATATCTTCGCTAAAGCCTTTGTTCTTGGTGTAGGTGTCGGCTTGGAGGTTCATGTAGTCGTCTCGGATCTGGAAGATGATTCCTAGGAGCTCGACTAGATCTGTGCAGTCGCTACGTGTGGATTGATCATTATAAGATGGGCTCAGTTGAATGGGAGAGGGTGAGACATACATTTTGACCGTGCTTAGAGTTTGCATCAGCTGCACGGCCAGTCGGAAAAGCCCGCCAGTCTTGTTCGACACCATCTCGATATACTCCTCTTCGGTTGGGCAGATGAGCGCATCCCGCCAGTACAGATCCATCGCCTGGCCGCGGTGCAGGCTGAGGAGCTCGCGGGTGAAGATGACCAGCGCGCGCGGGTCATTCAAGGCGACCACCCTCTCCTGGGCGAGAAAGTAGGCATGGTTAGCTGAGTTGATCGTCTGCGCGATGCCAAATATACTGTGGGCGACGGGGCTACCGCGACGGAGTTTGGAGGAGTCTTGGATGTCGTCAATCCTGGTGGGTGGTCTTTTAGTACGGTGTCTGTTTTCACGCGTGGACGCGAACAACTGACAGGAGAGACGCGGTGTGGAGGGTTTCAATGGCCTCCTTGATGATGGTCAATTTGTCTGCGGGCACCTGGAGCCACTCGTCGAAGGCGGCGATTAGCTTGCCCCGGATGTCCTTTCCGGGCAGAGAGCGAAGGTAGTTGTAGGGGCCCCGGACCACCTATCAGACTGTATGTCAGAGGATGTTCTTGCATCGCGACAGTCATTCGTGACTTATGGTATCAGAGCGAACCTCTTCGTAGCGGTCTACTGCGTCCTCGACTGCTCGGGGTGATTCTGGCGTTGGGGTTGGCGGCGAAACTGTCGTCTCAGCAAGGACCCGGGCGTGGAGGTGGATGGCTTTCCCATCGCGAACGATATAGGAGCCCGTGGATATCACGGGTTTGTCCTCCAAAAACAAGCCATAAGGACTCAACGACACTGGGGCGGAAGGGAACATGAAGCCTGGAGCAAGAAAGAGCATGGTTTCGAAAGTGTTGGTCGCTGACTCGTGGCAATCGAGCAACGGGATTGACCACTGTGGGCGATTCTTTGTGCCTCCATAGGGGAAAATCTTCGTCTTCAGCGCTGGGCTTCGATAGATTGATTACTTGTGCTCAAATCACACGATCCCTTACTTTGGAGAGTTTCAACCAGGTTATCCATCTTCCGCCTGTATGTGGCACACAAAGAATGACAGAGGGACTTGTGCCATCATGCGGTAGCATCAAGCGAGCCCTGTCGAAGCATGCGGCGAGAGCTGCAAAGTAGGCAGTGTCCGAGAACCAGCTCGTAGCTTACCGCAAGGGATAAGCCCATTGTCTCCACCTATAACCTTGCGGTCCGATGTCCTCTCCTGCAAGGGGAATTGCACAACCACCAAATCACTGGTTCATGCAATTGGAAAGCAGAATGCGTCAAATCAACAGCCCTAGACTCGCAGGCTGTCTTCAAGCGATAATCCCCCCTGCGCAGCGATAGCGATCCCTTGCTTCTTTTCTCATTTTTGGTGAAGTTTGCCAACATCAGGCACAGGCTGAGACCCAGGACCCAGATGTTGCGCGATAGAGGCGTAATGTCTCGGCGCCGGGTCTCCATAGCAGACTGCCAACGACGACCCTTGCAACTGAATAGCCCCAGCTCACGGGGGGGGGGGGGGGGGGGGGGGGGGGGGGCAGTTGCTCGTGCGCGGTAGAAGCTGTGACACATAGACCATACAAGAGTCGCCAGACCAGACGGGGCGTAGTCCCGGTGCAGGAAGAGCAGGATGCCAGCCTCCAGCGACCCGAGGGAGGGCTCGTTCCCCGGAGCGTGTGGAATGAGCCAGCGACGCACGGGACGGTCGGTGTCAACCAATTCAGTCAGGGGGACAAAGACATACGGTACGATGTGACTGCTGCCCGCGTGCACAATCACCACCACGGAGCAAAAGTACACAGGATGGCCCGGCCAGAGCGCCATGAATAGCTGCTTGCAATCGTAGGACGAGGATCACGCAGACGAGGATCATGGCGCCGGCCGAGTTCAAAGCAAACAGTGATAGCCCCCTGTCAGTGCCAGCCAAAACCGGCCAGAAAAATACTACGAGGCAAAGACCTCATATTTGTGGAAGAGCAATGACTGGCAATCGACTAGATAATTAGCTGACCTGTAGTGTTTGCAATATTTCCCCCCCCCCCAAATTTGACCTTCTGTATCTTAGTGTTTCTTGTAGCCTTTCCTCATAGCTTAAGCTTCAATCTCATCAATTCTTTTATTGTTTTGAGTGTTTTTCATCTCGACAATTGAGTCACCACCAAAGCGGGAAGATATATCTAGAAACCCCACTGTGCAAGACCACCATGACAAGAACAGAAACCAAAAGCAACACCAAAAAACCTAATTGCCGAGAGGTCCATCCCCTGGGTCGATAGGCTTGCCATCCGTGTCCACCACGTGCTGGGACCGGGAGAAACTGGCAAACCTCCCCGGCGGCGATGGTCTTGGAGGCCATGTCCGCCGGCAGATCGCCTGCATGGGGGACGAAATAGCGCCCAAAGAGGGTGTTGAAGAGGCCGTCTCGAGCCTGGAAGCGGACCAGAAATCGAGAGGTCTGGTAGACGGTCTGAACCCGGTCGTAGCGGATTCGACGATACTGATCGAAGATGGACTTGACTTGCGAGTCGGTGGGGGGTTTCTGCGTTGTCCGCGTGCAATCGATCAGGAGATCGGTGATGACGGCGGCGTCTTCGATCGCCATATTCGCTCCCTGGCCGATATTCGGTGTCATCTGTCGCGATGGTCAGTCGGCCGATCGTAGGGAGGGGGTTCGGATATTGCACTTGTATACCTTGTGAACACTGTCCCCCAGAAGCGCCATGCGCCCGTGATGCCAGGTCGCAAAGACATTCTCCTCCAGGGCGGTCATGGAGACGGTTTCTCGGGCGTCCCAAACCTGACCGAATGTGATGTCTTGGTAGAAACGGCGCTCTCGGTATTGACTGGCCACGGACGCCATGTCTTTTTCGGTGAAGCGGGGAACATCTGGGTAGACATACCGACGAGCGAGCTTCTCGATCAGGAACCAGTAAAAGCGGCCATTCTTCCCGTGGATGGTCACTATCGTGGCATGGTCGAAGAAGGCGTTGATCTGATTTCCCACTTCCAATCCTTGGATGGGAGATGAGATTCCAAAGAGACAGCGGTATTCCACTGCCATGTCTGTCATGTTCGTTCTGTTAGACAATGAAATTTCAGCCACTGCACCAGAATACAGAATGGCATTTTGATGGGACTTGATATGACTGTATCTCCCACCATGGGACCTTGAGAGGTAGGGGTCATCACTGGACTCACTGGTCTTCTCTTTCAACCCAATCTTTCCCTGGGCTGCTTTCCAGATCTCGGCGCGTACGGGGCTATGAACGCCATCGGCGCCGAGCACCAGGTGGCCGGTATATCGTGTCCCGTCCGCCGTCGTCACCGTCGCTCCACCCGGGAAGCGTTCAACCCCGACGACGCGCCTGTTGAGGTGGATATTCTCCCGGTTGGAGAGTCGATTGTACAGGATCTCCAGAAGCTTCTGTCGGTCTAGGAACATAATCGGGTATCCAAACCTACGACCATTCTCGGAGAGGTCAGTAATAGAACCACGAACCTATTTACAAATTCCCAACGAGGCCAAACCGACCTCTGGTGTATGAGCTTCGGGTACGAGCTATGAAAGATGAACCCGTCCGGATAACACATAGTGGCGGTCTCCAGAGGTTCAATATGCGATTCCACCTCGTCGTATAGCTGAAGCTGGTCCAGGATCCGCGCCCCATTGGGCAAGATACCAATCGAGGCACCCACTTGGGGGGCAGGATCGCTGCCTTTCTCGAGAACCACATATTTGATTCCAGCGCGCTCAAGGCAGTGAGCCAGTGTCAGCCCCGCGATGGACCCTCCGACAATGATAACTTTTAGCTCTGACGATGCCATAGTGCGGCGTGGGCAGATAAAACCCCAAGATCAGGAACGAGACACCGAGAACTGTTCCTTTCCGCCGTCTCCCACGCTTCGAAGGGAGCATAGCAGGTACCCTTAGGAGGCCGTGGGGACCCTTAGTGGCTGGCTGATAGTTTCTGCAAGGGGCCTCTTGAAGCATAACCCGTCAAAAGCAGGCGGTACGAGAAATGTGCACCCTTTTCGCGAACACGACTGCATTCTATTACTCCTACCAACCGCTGTCTTATCTCGAGCAAATGACAGTTGTTCTGCATTCCAATTGCTCCACTCACACATACGGGGGACACAAATGTCAATATCCAGCCACGCGGGGGCCCCCCCCTCGCTGCCGGCATCCGCCCCTCCCTCACATGGACTTCTTGCTCGGCTCCTCCTCCAGAGACTTCTCGTAATGTCGAACATACCAAAAGCACACTCCGTACGACCCATCGACTAGCAAAAAGGTGGCCAGACTCCACAAGACCAAGGGGCTATTGAGCCAACCAAACGCGCTGTTCCAGTACTTCCAACGAAGGCCCGCAAAAACCACGGTACAGGACGAGCCCAAAAAGCGGGAGAGCCTGGAGTCCAGAAATATGAGCAATTCGATCCTCGTATATCAATGGACTCGGGAAGAAAACCTACCATAGCGTGTACGACGCTCCACGGGTGCTACCACGACACAGCAGCTGGCAAAGGCCGCCGATACTCAACAGCAGCTGGCAGACGACAGCGCCCCAGGAGTAAGCCAGCGAGTGCCCGATTTCCGCAGCAAGGGCCATATGACCGGTGAGGAAGCCCAGCATGCCAAGACAAAATATAAGCGGCAGATGGCGCATAACAACGGGGGCATGGGTCCACTCGTTGGGCGCAAATTTGATGGCAGCGTACATGACGCCGAAATTGAGGATGAGACCTGTCAGGAAGACCGACTGCTCAACCAGGCTCTTCGAGGGGTAGATGATGCCGTAGACTACCTCCCACGCAATGTTACAGCAGAGTGGCATGATGGCCATGCCGTAGGTCTGGTCTTTGAAGGACTTGTACACCATGCCCACGTAGTTGATCACCCAGCCAATCCCCATTCCCACGACGAACAGGTCCGCAATGGGCTTGACGGCAAGGTACTCGGGGGGCGCCTGGGCTACGTTGAAGCCGTCCATAGTGGCGTTTTCTTGGTGCAGGAGCTGTGGTAGTAGTGGGTGATATGAAGGAGGCGATGAATGGGGTGGTTGGTTTATCCATGTATCAAGGGTTGGTCGCACTCGGCCTGTCTTATACAACACTGCACTCCCTGATGCGTCCGTGGTCTGCAAGGGTCCTGCTTCAGGCGCTGACACTAGGGAACTCGTACATTCTGCGGTTTCAACGCGGTGCCACCGATCCTGTACTATTGGCTACAGGGCATGGTTTCCACGGCCATTATAGGTTGATTACCTCAAAATGTTTATGAGCCGTTCGTCGCGTTCCTCATCCACCACAATGTCCATCCATCTGTGGTTCCCTGTCACCCCCGACCAACGGAGGGCGCGCTGACCCTGGCAAGCTTCAAGCAATTAGACCGCTATACGCTACATCTCCGTTGACAAGTGCCTTCGACCCCGACCTCCGTGACGATCAAAAGATGGCTTCGATTCCTAGTAGCCTGCTGGGCCCTGCCCTCTGCATTGTGGTAGCAGGGTGCATCTTCTACGGGATCCTCGATCGCTGGCCGCGGCCGCGATGGTGGTCAAAAAAGTCGCAGCTAATTGGACTCCAATCGCCAGTCCAGATCACCTCCCTAGAGTGCCCGTACAGCTACATCCGAAAGATCTACGGCCACCACCACTGGGAGCCCTTCGTGAACAAGCTATCCCCCACGCTGAAGGAGGACAACCCCCGTCAACATGAAATGATACTGGAGATCATGGACGCCATCCATCTCTGCCTGATGCTGGTAGACGACATCTCGGACGGCAGTGATTTCCGTAAAGGGCGTCCGGCAGCGCACAAGATCTACGGGCCCTCCGAGACGGCCAACCGCGCGTACTTTCGCGTCACGCAGATCTTGGCCCGCACGACCCTGGAATACCCTCACCTGGCGCCATGGCTGATGCAGGACCTAGAGCAGATCCTCGAGGGCCAGGATCTCTCCCTCGTCTGGCGCCGGGACGGGCTGGGTGGCTTCCCTTGCCATGGGCCGGAGAGAACGGCGGCGTATAAACGCATGGCATCTCTGAAGACGGGGGCGTTGTTCCGTCTGGTCGGCCACCTGGTGTTGGAGAACCGGTCCCTCGATGAAACACTCACGCTGGTCGCGTAAGTTGCTCTTCCTTCTGCTGTCCATGTCTGGCTGGCGCTGATTCGAACCATATGTATGTCTAGATGGCACTCGCAGCTCCAGAACGACTGCAAGAACCTCTACTCGTCCGAGTACGCCAAGCTGAAAGGCTCCGTAGCTGAAGATCTCCGCAACAAGGAGCTAACCTACCCTATTGTCCTGGCCCTCAACTCTTCGAACGGCCAGTGGGTGGCCCGCGCGCTGGAGTCGCCGTCGCCTCGGAATGTGCGACGCGCACTGCGGGCCATTCGGAGCGACGAAGTGCGCCAGGAATGTCTGTCTGAGCTTCAGCACTCGGGGGCGTCTATTCAGGACTGGTTGGCGCTGTGGGGCCGAAAGGAAAAACTCGACTTGAGAAAGTAAGAGTAGTTGAGGGTGCGATATCATTATGGGTTGAAGGGGCCCCTGCGGAGCATTCATGCCAGGCGTGCAGCGTTATTTTGTCGGGATATCAGTCATATCAAGCCCGACCAAATTTCGTTCGGTAGTTTGGTGTAGTGGCTCAGATTATCTTCTATTATTCTTTTCTTTTTTCTGTCGGTGCTGCAGCTAAAATATTCTTCAATTGATCTCAGAGTCATCTTTAATTCAGGCATCGTAGAGGTTCCACCGCCAGTCCACCTCCAGGCATCCGGGTATTTGATGAGACTCAGAAACGGAGAGCCATGGATAACGTCTAAGCTACCACAAAAGCTAGACCAGCATTCTTGACTGCCATTTGCAAGAGAGGCTCTCTAGACCTGGGGGGCAGGATTGATTCTAATCCCACAAGAAACGCAGCGGATGGTTCTAACACTGACGCTCACCCAGATGTTCCAAAACGAATTCACCACCCCCGGCACTGCCGAAGGCGTCTACCGCATGCCGATTGCCATCCTAAAAAAAAGCACTGCCCTGGTAGCGCGCTCGCGGACAATCGCACCAATCCGTGCTTCTCCACGGTCCTGGACGAGTTTATATACGCCTTCGAGGTGGAGGCCAACATCCATAGTTCGAATTTTTCACTGATTGAATGAGCTTGTGCATGCCGATATTCACCGTCGGCGGCAGGAGGGCCGGAAAAACGCCAAAGTCAGATAGACCCTCAGTTGGGTTCGCCGGAGGGAGTGTAACGGACTTACGTGGTCAGGATATCTTAGTCCCTACGCCAAAATACTGACCAGCACTCGGTATAGGGCTTTACCTGACTGATATCCCTAACAGGATATCTGCAATGATCTCCGCCACTGGGTGGAGCAAAATTCCCCTGAAAAACACGACGATTGGCATGTCACTCACTTGTTGGTCGCCTCCGAGTTTAGGGCAATCTATACCACCACCCAGGTGCGTCTCTCCCCTTGGAGGCTTCAAGAATGTGTCTGTCAAAAGCAGGGAGGGTGGACCAAAAGCGGAATCGAGTCCCTGAATAGGGTAGATGATTTTCGTCAAGGAGTGTCGGCGATATAACGCGCTAGACGCCGGGTCTCTCTCCCAGTGTCACGTAGGACTTTCTCTTTTACAAAGGACTGAAAGGGACTTTCCTGTTATCCCTTAACTCGCTGGTCCTCTTCGACGAGGGCAATCATGTCAATGCTCGCTGTTTCGACGGGTACCGCATTTGCAGACGAGGTGGGCAGGCGACCAACCTAGAGTACTATAAGTTCATTGCCTCCCACTCGAAACATATGCAGTTTGAGGATGACCGGCACACATGGTATTCTCTCCATCTTCCGATGCTTTCTCTCGTGTGAATGGGTTGTTGACTCCAAGCTCCCGTCGATACATGGCAGCGAACGACATCCGACTAATGCTGGCGTATATTCTGTTGCATTACAATGTGGTCATCGAGGACGACGGCCCTTGACCGCAAAATACATTATTCAAGAAAATCCTCTTCCCCGAAATGAAGGCGAACATCGTATTGACAAGGCGAGAGGGTTAGTAATCGGGCTTGACTGGATTAGACGCCCTTTTAGGACCCAAGGTTGATGGTTCACGCTGGTAGGACCGAATGAAAAGTCTATCTAATCGAGGTAATTCAAATGCTGCGCGGGTCGTGTTTTGAACATCATGAACCCTTCTAGATGTTGGTTTAGACCATGCATATTGGTCTAGACATTCAGTGGTTCTTAACAGAACCAGTACTCTGCTCTATCCCGAGCCCTAGAGCTCCATGTCAAGCAGCCCTCGCCCGGGTTATGATATGTAGGGGACATTTTTCTCCGCGCCCACATGTGCCCCGTGGACGCAGGGCTTGGAGTCATTTGTGAGGCCGCCAGGGGGGATAGAGACGTAGTTGTGGCCGAAGAAACAGTAGAGACCTAGGAAGTAGAAAATGTTCAGTCATTCAGCAGTGACTAGTGATGTGAAATACTCCGTGAACAATGTCACGAGTTGCTGTCACTATAGCGGTAGTGCCAAAAGAGGAAGTTTGCAGTTGTTCTAGAAATTCTGATTATACATAAATACATATATTTATTGCCACAATATAAGCTAGTGCATAAAAGGGGAACCCACAGAGCTCAGAAATGTCTAGATATCTTTTGTGGCCGAGTGGTATTCTTTGCGACATTTATGAATATATGTTGTGGAAAAGGATTAATTCACGGCTGGAACTGATACTGTAACACATTTGCCCTTCATGAGTGGCCTTATATTGCAACATATATATATTGGGGTTAGTACTTAGGTAGGTAGCCATATATCCATCATACTTCACCCCGAGCTCAACCAGACAACCCCATACTTACCTATCTAGGTAAGTAGATAGGCTAAGCGGTAGGTAGTAAATAAGTCCATAGACCTCACTGACAGACTTCAATATTCGTATCGAAAGTGTGAACTATCAGATTTCCCTCCCTGCCTTATCTCCTCCCGCAACAGGTAACTATAACCACCAGGGTAAATATCCGAAAAAGGTATATATTCCCCATTCGTCCTCACAGGTAAGTCTCCCTCCTAGCGTCCAATCTCGGCCTCACCTACATGATCATGGGTGAATTGTTACCCTGTTGGGATTGGACCGGGGGACGGGACCCGGAGGAGTGGGAGAAGGGCGGACAGAAGGGCGGACCGGAGAATTAATGGTCGGGAATCGGGCATAATGGACGGCTTGGAGGAAACACCGCTGGTTATTGATTGATTCAGACCTAGTGAATATTGCCTTTGTGGCGTTGGAGATCCGTGGTACATTGGAAAGTACGTACCTAGTAGGGCAGGGTCCTAGGGTAGCGAGGTGGGCAAGAAGGGAGATCGCGATGATCTACGGAGTACGGAGTATGGATACTTCGTACGCGATTCTGGCTTGGTCCGTTCGTAAATTTTTCCTTCTTATTGCTTTTTCTCTTAGAGACTGGACTGGCATGGATAGAAGTGGGCTGCAAGGGGGGACCCTATACCTTCGGACTTGAGGATGGGGATTGTTTGGACGGGGTTTGCTTGATATTGCTTCTATCAATTGTTCGATTGTGGTGGGATTATTGGGCTTTTTATTTACTTTTTTCCCTATTATTATTATTATTGTTCTTTGATCTTCGGGCTTTTATAAGACATAAACAAATAAGCTCTGGGAGTTGGCAAAAGGATCCGAATGGTCAAAGTTGTACTATAAAATGCTAAGTAAAATAGATAGATGAAAGAGATAAAAGAATGCATCGAGTGTCTAGATCTCTAAATTATTATCACAACTTTCCCACTGCTCACTAGTTGTATATGAGAAGGAGATCCGATCTTATATCTTGCAAGGATTGATTTTGATAGGAACCATGGAGACAGGACAATGCCTCACATGAGGTTCGACATGTTCATATATAATTAGCATCACGTCCAAATCGTCGCACGAGATGAAAATAGCAAACAAATGCCGGCAAAAACAGCCGGTCATTCTCGAGAATCTCTTTCATTATTAGATTCAAATAATAAATAATAATAACATGATCATCTCGAACTGCTGACCGAGTTTGTTAGGTGGGTTTGTGATCTATCGACTTTTGCTTTTCCCTCCTCCTATGCCTGCCTTAGCCTGGCGGTTTCTCTCTTCTACAGACACACACCGACACCCTCATCCACTAATCATTTCGCCTTCTTCGTCTTTTCGTCTTGTCTTGCCTCGATCCAATACCAACCAAAATACACACGGCCATCCACTGTCCCCACCTGGTTGCCCGTGCATGCATCTGTCACATTACAAAATGCCGTGGCCTCGATCCATGTCGCCCAGTCCCACTAGTGCTGGCTTGTCCTTGTCGGATCCACTTGGTTCATCTCACTAATCGTACATCATTGCGTCACAAGATTCATGGGAACAGGTGTATAGATCGAGTCGTGAACTACCCCTCCCTCCAACCAATGGTCTCCGAGGGCCCATCCCTTGCTTGTAACGGCCTTCCAGCATGGCCTCTGACTTGCGGACAAGAGATGGATCGAGGAGGTTAAATCAACCTGCCTCGATAACCCTGAAGATGGGATATCCCCTTTCGTTCGACATGTCTCCTGGAGAATGAGCCACGGGAATTAGTGACCACCCGGTGGGGTGTATCCCATCCCCAAAAGGGAAGGGCAAAGGAAGGGTCGAAAAAGGAAGGATTTCGAGTATGCCAGATGGTCACACCAACTTCACTAGGATCTAGATCTCTGGGATGACGAAAATCAGCGGTTCGCTCTATTGTGAGAAAAAGCAACGATACAAAGAAAAATGAAGCGAAAGAAACAAAAAAAGCAAGGAAGAAGAAAAGACACCACGGTCACGCCCGGCTCAAATTGTGGACTCCAAAGTACGATCCTGGTCCTGGCGATTTGTTACACCATCTATCTATCTGGTGTCCGATCAAACTGCTAGCACGGACAGGATCGTCCAACGTTTTCTTCCTTTTGTACAACAACCTTTTCGTTTCCCCTCTGTTTTGGCCCTCCTAGGTCCCCCCTCCCTTCCTTGCTCTGGGACAAAGGACACGATCTTGGGTACTTTTTTTTTTTTGGCAAATAATGGGCCCACTAGCCTTGCTTGTCCGCCATCTTCCTCCCTCTCTTGGCCTTTTAGGTCGGTGGAATCCTGGCATCCCAACACTTAGGTCCAACTCTATTGCCCAATCTATTCAATCTATCGAGAACGAGAGAGACATGCCATTCGACAATGCGGCTAGATTCCCTGCACACCATCGGCCCGTCACATCTAGAAATGAAAAAAAGAAAAAAAGCCAAGAGAAAAAGAACATCGGGCTCTGTAAGGGCCTTTCATGACAGCTTTAGATTTCGACACCATCCTTTTAAATATCAAGGGCGCTGCGTCCTGCTCCCCTGGTCTTTTCCGACAGTAGATATTTTTGGCTTCTGAAACACCCCTCGACACCCTGTACTCCTATCCTCTGTGTACATCGGGTACCCTTTTTCTTTTCTTCTCCTGTCCTGTGCCTGTCTTCTGTCTCCCCTTGATGGTGATACCCTCATGACCATGCTCATCGCCTCCTACATTCCTTGATCTAAATCCCCTTCTATACGGAAACGCCATTGCGACGTAAAGAAGTGGGGATACATCATTTTCTACCCTCCATTTCTGTCTCCATCGGTCACGTTCTCGATCTTACCCCTTTCGATGCTGACCGGTCACTTTTCCATTGACCGTATTTGAATGGGACCGACGGCCGAACCTTCCTCCCCCCTGATGCAGAAGAGCAATCAATCGCAGGCTGGCCTCGTTGCTCCGGCCCCAATCGTTCCAACCCGACGACCCTATCCACAATTGCCTAGTCGTGGATCTTCCGGTATGTCCGCTTTGTCGTCCTCATCGACCGGGGACACCCAGGTCCCAGCGACCCCCGATACCCAGGCCAGGAGCGAACACGCTCCCGAGCTCGTGTCACTCTTCCAGGCTCAGAGCGCGACCTCTTCCCAGGGTGCTTCCCAGGGCAATGGGGCTCGTGATATGCTCAAAGCAGGCCAGCGCCGGCTCCGACAGCTGGCCATTCGTCAGAAGAAACCAAAGGACCCCCAGACTAAGGCCGAACAAACTTCCCTCCAGCTACTAGCCCTCGAGCAGGAAGGCTTCCTCCCCGTACGAAGACCGCCCCCGAAGAAAACGGGCCCGAAGTCGAGCATCGATTCGACCCTGTCCAGCACGCGTTCGGCGTCCTCCTTGAGTTTCAGATCAAGTTCCCGACGAGACGTGGAGAGCATCGGTCAGCCGTGGCTGGTGGATCCGCTCGAGCGGTGTGACAACTTGAGTTCCAGAGCTCAACTATCATCGCTGGATTTTCGTGATTTGACAAGCTTGGTGGAAGCGGCCATGACCTCTTCCCATCCCCACAACGGAGGAGGTCCCTCCCCTGATCGTCTGACGGTTGAGCAGAATTGGTCACGAAGAAGCAGCGGTCAAGGCTTAGTTGATCAAACTCGCGGTACGAACAGCGTATCTGATTCGGCTCGAGTTAGTAGGGAGACGGATCGTATTGAGGCCCTGCCGGCAATCCCTAAAACCCCGGACCTGGCCAAACCAGGGAGCCCAACCTCTTCAACCGGAGACACTACAAACATGGAGCACCAGGTGAGCGAGCCCTTCGGGACTGTACATTCCCTGAGCCGAAGCTGACTACCACCAGCAAAATACACAGCCAGCAGATCCCGAAGCCACGCCGGACACACCAGCTGACAAGACCCCCACATCGAACTCGCCGACACCACCCCCATCTGCTCCTGGACACACGTTGAAGCTATTCCCGGACACGCTGCCCCCTCGTGTCTCGAGTAAAGGTGCCTGGCGCTTATCTCCGCCTCCAAACCGACCGCTACCTACGAGCCCCGAGCCACGACAAAGCCAGGACTCCAACATAACGAATCGTTCGAGCACTTCAAGCTCAAGAATCCTCAATCCGTTGCGACGAAGTCGACAGGGCTCTCAGGGTGCGGATCAAGCACCAATGGCTCGACTGACGAAACCACCTCGAAACGCCCCTGCAAGTCCTGTCTATGACAGATTCCCAGAAGCTAGGAGCGGCCGTCGGCGGTCTTCCTTGCCGATGGGTACGCTCAACGCGTTTCCTCTACCCGCTCCCATGCGGCCGCTTCCTTCGCTCCCGGAGCCCGGTCTCATACCCCAAGCCGACCGGACCTCTAATACCCAATCCCACAAGAGGGAATCGGACGCCGACACCGAATCCTCGAACCGAAAGCCAGCATCCGCTCCTTCCGAGGATGGAACCATCATCCTTCAAGATAAGAACATGCCGTCGCAGCCATCTTCCCCCACAATGCTGAACGATAAGGATTCGGCATCCGGGGCCAAAGACAAATCTCACCCGGCCACTTCAGGTGGTCCCCTTGCCAGGAGCGAACAGAGTCGTGCCGATAGAGTACGTGCTCTCAGGCTGAAGGACCTGTCAACAAGTCGTATGTACCTGCGGGGTTCAGAACAAGCGCCACACGAGCACCGGCAGCTTGAGCTGGACCAGAGACTTCCCCAGACCAACATTGATGCAGACTCTCCAGGGAACATGGAGGACCGTGCCAATAACGACGCGCGATACCGAAGAACGATTACATCAGGCCCTCTTTCACCGCCTCCTTTGTCTCCTATACTATCGCGTCAGTCCCAGCGCCCAGTGAATGGCAAGGAACCAAACAGCGGCATGCCCCCAACGCCACTAGAGGAGGACATTCCGTTGGGAGCCTTTCCCGTCCCCGGGGGTCCCGTCGGAGCAGCAGCACGCGCAGCGTAGACCTCCTACGTGATGCCTTTGGTGGCCCTAGCCACCGCTGCGAAACCGCACTCCCGTCATCCGACGAGGAGCTCATACACTCGAGCCCCCATCAACACCAGTCGCAGCCGATACCCAGCCAACACCGACGAGTCAAACAAACCTCCGTCATGGGAGATCCGGCATTGCACAAGGCACGCCACACGAAGAAGAAGCCGGAGTACTCTCGGCCGCTGACCCCACGAGACCACCACAGCTACCAGCACGAGAGGGTATGCCCAGACTCGCGGAGTTCCCAAAGCAGTTTCTACTCGCAAGACCCACGAGGCAGCCCCCAGTTACCCGAGTACGTGCTCGCTTTGGAGAAGCGCATTGCGCAGCTTACGCACCAGAACAAAGCTCTCCAGGCTGCCCTTCTCGCTGCCCTGGACATGAACAACAAGCAAGGCCTGGACGGTCTGCTCGGTGGCTCGGAGACGTCACTGGGCACGTCCGCCACAGCGTGGTCATTCTCATCTGCCACCAATACCTCGTCAGGGTACGATGAGCCTCCGCTGCCGCCGCCACGCCACCCGAAGAGGGGACTTGCGCGGCAGCAGACCTATCGCCCGCAGAGCTGGATCGCAAGCCCAGATTCCAGCCGACCGAGTAGCTGTGAGAGCGCGAACAGCGCGAATGTTAGGGATGTGGAAGATATGCTAGAGGGGTTTGACTTTAGCTGGAGGTCAGACAAACCAGCTATCTAGCTTTCTTTCTGTTTTACTCTTTTTCTTCCATGATTTCTTGATTTGTTTTACTTTGTTCTGTTCTCTTCTGTTTTTCCCATTCTTCTTGCATCTACTTTCATCCTGGGTTGGTTTATGTCTCACATTGGGAGGTCTGGGAGGTCTTCTAACAATCGTTGATACCATTTCCTTCTGTCTATCTTCTTTCCAGCCGTCACTCTTCTTTCCAGCCGTCACTCTTCTTTCCAACCGTGTACCCTCGGGGAAAACACAACATTCGCTCACAATGATCGAACATCACAAGTCACCCACAAGCATCTCCTAGTGTCAAGACACATACATTCTTTCGCTTTTTCCTTCCTTGTTTTGCATGATTCTGTTAGTCTGTGTTGGCCTCTTTGTCCATTCAACGATACCATTTGCTTTCTGCTTTCTGTTTTTGCTTGTTTGTGTGCGTGTTGTTATTATGTACATACATACCATACGTTTTTCCGATCGAGACTGGGTATTACACCAGAGATCTAAAATAATATGCATATATTGAGTCCTAATCTTTTAAATTAAAAGTAGACCATTCCATACTGGAATTTAGAACAGTCATATAGCTTTAAGTTTGTCTGGTCTTGTCTTGTCTTGAACCAAATGGATTAGTCATCTGCTCAGGACTGATAGGAATCATGTGTCAAATCGGCATCTTCCCGTTGTTATTGTTGTCTGCCCAACAGCTCTGCACTACAACATTGCAGCTTAATTCTCCCACGAAGGACCACTACCATTGAGCAGTATCACTTGCTGTGGACACAATAACTGCATACTTAATCAGACAACAACCCCACCAAGCAATGCCCTAGAACAACTTAAGCATCCCGCACTTCACCGCAAACCCCCACCGACAAACAAACAAACCACCACCACAACAACAACAACAACAACAACAACGATAACAATCATACCACCACCATGGCGCAACAAGCAGCGGTAAGCGCACATTCCTTTCCTCAGCTTTACAACCCGCGCGTTGTTTTTGGAAAAACACAACAGAAGAAGAAGAAAGTATAACTAACAGGAGTCTTAACCAGGTCCCCCAGCACGTCACGGCCCTCCTTTCGCACCTTACCTCCCGGCCCGGTGTGCAGTCGACTTTTATTCTCTCGCGGAAAGATGGGTCGATCATCCAGAGTACGGGGTTAGGGATGGAGGTTCCTGCTTCTGGTCCTGCGACTAAGGGGGTGGAGAAGATTGCCAGGAGTGAGCCGGAGGAGAATGATAATAAGGATAATGGTGGGAATGAGGCCAACAATGACGGGAGCAATGGGAAGAGCATTGATGATGGGGATAATAAGGATGAGAATGAAGATGGGGACGGCAAGAGCAAAGACGATGACGACAAGAGTGCCAATAGCGACAACGACGGCGACAGCGACAATGACGACAGTTTCGACGACGCCAGAAGCGACAAGAGTGATAATCCTGAGACAACTCCACAGACGGACGCCAACGAGGCCCCCAAACCATTACCCCCACCCCCACCGAACAACTACAACCACCACAACAACCGCAACCAACCCAAGAACCAGAGCCCAGTCCCAAACCCACGCCCACAACCACAACCACAACCACAACCACAACCACACAAACACCCTACAAGCCATCCTACGCGGAGACCCTCGCAGCGGCAGTCTTCTCCTTCGTCACCAACGCAACAGAGCTCACCGCATCGCTGGCGCAACCCCCGCCAGCAGACGAACCCACCACCAACAACAACAACAATAACAGCAACCACCCAACCAGCGCCTCGCGCACTGAATCCACCGGCCGCGAAGACGGCGAGGCAGAAGCATCAGGCAGGGAAGACGACGACGAAGTCAAGCTGCTGCGCATGCGGACCAAGAAGCACGAGATTGTCGTCGTGCCGGATAGGAAGTATCTGCTTTGTGTGGTGCATGATGCGACGCACATGTCTGGTGGGGGTGGGCCTCCTGGTGGATCTGGGGTGAGGGGGAGGTAGTGTTGGGCTGAGATAGGATTTGTTTCTTGATATATATTCTTTTCTTTCTTCCATATTCTAATGTGTTTCTGGATGTGTTGAGTGGGGTGAGCGACATGTTGCTATATACCCGTCTTGGAAGCGTGTTGTCTTTCTTCGTTCTCGCTTTAGGTGTAGATAGTGCTTCTCCTAGGTATTATATATTTATCCTACATATCTACTGTAATCAAGTAATCGTAGCAAAGCCGAAACACCACCCCTTTGAAACTAACATAGCGACCGTACTTCATACCCGAATATATAGGTACTATGATAGCTGTAGAGTGAAACCATCTATTCCTAGATGGGATATATATAGCTGAGAACGGCCATCCTGTCTTCCAGTGGTTATATCAGCGATATCATTATATATGTCGCACAGTTCAACTATCGTTATATTATACGGCATTACTACACTACACTCCAACAGATCTGTCCTGTTTATTTGTTTGTTGTGTCATTATATGCATAGCCATATAGAAGGAGTATAGTATAGCATAGTATAGTATAGTATACCCAAGTAAACAACAACCCACAACCGACACCTATCTTCCTCTCCCTTCAAAAGTACCTACCTCCAGAACCTCCCTATCTATCAACCTACCAGATCTACCTACTGACATATATACATCCCCACCCACCCACCAGCAAGAAAGACACAGTAGACCACCCAAACAAGCACCAACCAAACCTTATCCAAAAGTCCACCCGAAACACACATACCCGAGTATCCGTACCCAGCCTGACATAGGTACCCAAGGTACCTACACCGGCAGTAAGTACCTATCAAAGCACATACTACTGCCTCCTAAGGTACCTGAATGCCTACGCTCCCGCCTAAGGTGGTGGGTGTATATGCACGCCTATGTAACGGGTGATGCACGGTTCCGAAAGGGGGGGGCGCAGACTCCGAGACCGGGGGTACTCTCCCTGTCTTTGGTTTGGCTTGTCTTGTTTGGTGGTTTGCTTGATGTTTTGGGGTGTGCGGATGATTTTTTCTTTCGGTTTGGGGGGGGGGGGGGGGGGTGGGTTTGGTTTGTATATTTGGTACTACTTGGGATATAGATACTATTTATATATATGTGTGTTTACCGTAGCGTTTTGATCGTTAATAAAGTAGATAGGTAAGTAGGTAGTAGGTTTTATTGTTCTTCAAGGCTATACATGTACAAAATAGTAGGTAAATCTCCAGGCATCAAGTATCATTCACTAATCGGTTTTTAGATAGATAGATAGATAGATAGCCCCCACGGAAAGTAGGCAAGTAAGGTAAGCATATTAGGTAGAAACAGCCTCAGCTATTAATCCATTCATCCCCCACTCACTTCGATCCTTCTCAGCTGCCTCCGCCTCCGCCTCTGCCTACTACCTACCGGATGATACCCGCAAGCAGTAGCAGTAACACGCATAGCATAACATAACCTAGCTGAACGAACGCGGGGAAAACGCCCCCAACCAGCTAGATATCCCGCTAGTCAGAGGGTCAGCCTGTCTCCGCCAAACTACCGAGTGGGCACACAAGGCTGGAAAACTCAAATAGTGATAATAATACCAAGTATTATACATCATATATACTTTAGACTGACACCGGATGGCAAGATGGCAAGAAGTACGGAGGAGATACTGCAAGAGGTTAGTCCGTACTAGGGTCGATGGACCCACTTTTTCCACGGTGGCAGTGGAGGGGATCGCGTGTACGGTGGGTGTGCGTAGATTGGGGACTGGTCTGTCTGGTCTATTCTTGGCTGTTTATTGTATCATCTATATGGAGTATGTGGAGTTATGGAGTACTATAGGGCTATGCTGGATAGTGCTTCAAGGATACATATGTATTTGTAAGAAGAAGGGATGGAGTGTATGATGCTACTGTTCATAGTGAATAGTGTAAGGGGCGATGGAAGAATAGAGAGTAGGCGGTGTGCTTCTGCATGTTCCACGAGTGACAGGGCTGTGAGCTGGCCGGTGGGTCGATTACCATGTACTTTGCATGGTGAAGACTGGAAAGTTTTTGGCTTTGGTTATGGAGATATATATATTCAAGAGGACTTTTGAGCAGTCTTTCCATAGTATTAATATAGGTAGTGAATAGTAACAGAATAACATAGTACGGAGCACGGAGTAGGAGGATGTTACTCATGTAGGTAGATGGTGTGTGGCTGGAAATCCAACGGCGGTGGTTGGTTGTTGTTCCATGTCCGGCGATCTGACTCGACGAGAGCGTATACTTGGCAGTGTTACTACATTAGGATGATTATTGATGGATTCCATTACATGATTAGATCTCATGTCATTTGTTTGCCTCTCTTATAGATGGGTTTCATCCGATCATATCAGGCTGCACAGACAGGCAATCTGGCAGTCTGCCAGATTGCTAGACTGCCTGTGTAAGGGACAGTTGGTTGACCGCTGTCATGACTAACAACGTGGTGGACAGAACCTAGTTAGGTACGGATAGAGACTAATGCATCCAGCGATCCCAGCCGATATCGCCGGATAATATTGACCAGACCGAGTCCATATCATCGATCATCCTTTGAATGGATAGGGTTTGAAGGTTGTGATTGCCTGCCACGGTGCATTCATCCAGATGACCGGTCAAATCACCATGTGTAACTTGACATTGGAATCTGGGTCTATCTTTGAGTTTGACGGTGGTGGGATGGAGTAACGATGGAGATGATGGCAGATCAGGCTATTGATTGAATACGGAGGGGCAGTGGAGGAGTCATCGTTAGGCTGTACACACGGGTTGGATATATATACATACATATTTAGAATGCATATCAAATGAAGATAGAAATCAAGATAAGATAGAAAAGATAATACCTATCAGGAGTAAAAGGAAAGAAAGAAAAGTCAGCCCAACCGTGGATGGGAAACAGACCCGTGGCTGAAAAAAGAAAGAGTCATCGTTTCCAGCAGTGGGAGTGCTGGGGTGTGCCTGAGGATTCGGGAGTCATCCTATCTTTCCCTTCCGCTCTTCTCTTCCTCTCCTGTTCCTCTTTTCCTCTCTTTCTTCCTCTCTCTCTCTCTCTCTTTTATCAGACTCAAATGTCGAGTCATCTTCACTTCTTTCCTTCTTATCTTTTCTTATCCGTTTCTCTTTCTATTGATCTCTTGATTTAAATCCCATTACTTCTCATGGCTTCTGTCGGTTCCCTTTCCTACTCCTAGTCCTATAACCGTCTTAATCTCTACTATCTGGTTCTTCCACTCCGCTCCTCTATTATCTATTTTGATTTGATTGATTTGATGTGCTCTGTTTATTCTTCAATTTAAATCCCTATTCCTCTTGCTATTGTTTCTGGTTCCAAAAAAAAGACCTGGTCCCTGCGTCCGCTGTTCCCGTCTTATTATCATTACTATTACTATTATTATTATGCTGTAACATTTCCCGCCACTCTCGCCACTCTCTCACGGTCAGTCATCCCCGAATTCTTCCCAATCTTCCAATCTTCCCACCTTTTCTTCCTCCTTTCCATCTTTCGATCATGTTCGCCCCCACGATCCTTTTTCTTTCTTCCTAAATCTTGCCTTCCTTCTGGTCCTGCCGCGCCTGGTGATTCCTTCCTTCCCTCTTGCCTCCCATCTTAGTCACGCCTCTGCCTCTGACTCCGCCCGCCCCCCCCGTGTATACCTACCTAGTCGCTAGGCAGCGGACCCTCGGGCCTTGCCTCTTACCGGTCAACTTCCTGAAGAGTCATACCGTACCTCCCTTCCCAACACCTTTAAAATCCCCGAGACGCACCTGCTGACTGTTCGTTGTCGCCTCTCAGACTCAGACTCACATTCCATCTTCGACTCATCTTGAGCCTCCCGCCCCTACTGGTCGCGCCACATCACTCTACCTACCTGTCTACCTATTCAATCCGAGATACCGTTGACACCTTGGACGAGTGACCCATCCTTGGCTGGTGACACTCCCCCGGTCCACCGGTATCTTTATATCTCTTTTCTCCCCAGTCTCAAAATGTACCCTGTTGCTTCGCCATTTATCGTTCCGGTCGCCAGTCTTGCAGTTTTCACCTCCTCCGATCTCTCAGTTGTCAACAAGATCGCCTTTGTTTAAACAAAGTCTTCCTTTGCTTGAACGGACAGTTGGTTACTGTCCTCGCCGGCATCTACACTGAACTGCATCACCGGTGACCGGAACTTTGATACCCTCCTCCCTTCTCCGCATTCTATTCCTCCCCTTTCGACCTCCCTCTAAATCAACACCGCCCACTTCTCCGACATCCAGTCTGGCGAACTGTACTCTCAAGGCTTGCCGTCGCCTGTGACCCCAAGACGGTCTTTTTTGTTACCGACTACTCGTTTACGGTTATTAGTACCCTGGTCTATTACTTCCCGGCTGATCCTGCGCAACTGCTATATTCGCCTCGACTACTGTAACACCCCGAGACTCGTTTACTTTTCCGAACTTTTTTGAAGGTTTCTACAGTGGGATATATCCGGATATGTCAGGGATCGACGTTTTGGGTTTGAAAGATTCAAACCAGATACCTTATCAAGCGTCCCATGCGCACCCCTATGCATCGTCTCTCTCCTCCTCCGCATCCTCCTCTTCCTCGTCGGTGTTTTCTCTAGATGGCCTCTCCACCCAGAGTTCCATTTCATCGACCTCTACGAACCCGGTGGATGTGATCTGGGAGAATGACGGTGACTCTCAGGCGGCCAGAGGCCTGGTTCCGGCCGGCCCTGCCCGCTGCGGCTTCCGCGCCAAGAACGTGGATGCCGCCGTTGCCCCGGAGCTGCGAAGGCACCCTCGGCGCACCAACAGCGGCCCCGTTCAAGCCAACGGCGTGCCCTGCACGCGCCCCCCGCCCGCCCTGCTCCGGCAGTCCGAGCGGAAAGTGAACTTTGTGGACAACCTTGTCGGTGAGTGATTCGGACCTCGAACGTCGACCGACTCCATGCTAAAAGTCAACGAGACTCCGCGTCGCAGATCGTTGAGACCATCTGGCCCTTGTCGGCCGCCGCGCACCGCAGTGATGCGGCCACCGGGTGCAAGGGCGTCCTGCCGCTCCGCACCTTCATCCAGGAGACCCTCCGCCGCTCGCGCACCAGCTACAGCACCCTGCAGGTCGCGCTGTACTACTTGATCAAGATCAAGTCGCACGTCCCCAGTCCCGATGCCTCCCCGGACCAGAACGGCGGGAAGCCGGTCTGTCGGGCCATGCAGTGTGGCCGACGCATGTTCCTCGCCGCGTTGATCCTCGCGTCCAAGTACCTGCAGGACCGGAACTACTCGGCCCGTGCGTGGAGCAAGATCTCCGGCCTGAACACCGCCGAGATCAACCAGAACGAGCTGATGTTCCTCGGCGCCGTGAGCTGGCGGCTCCACATCCCGGAGGCGCTCTTCCAGCGGTGGACGGACATCGTGTTGAAGCTGACGCAGGGCGGCCTCGCCGTTGGCGGACTCACGTGGCAATCGGCCATCCCCCGACTCACTCCAGAGCTGGAAGGTGAGTTGGAGGCGGCCCCGGCATCGGGCCCGCTGCCTCCGACCAGCATGCGTAGCTACGACGCGCGCTTCTCGGAATCTCCCTCGCCCCGTGGAACCTCCACGCGAGGCGGCGGCCCTTGCTCCGCGCCACTCGCCGCTGAGCCTTGCACTCTGCCGTCGATCCATGATACCCTCGGGCTGTACCGACGGACGAGCCCCGTGGGTCTGCCATCCATGTCTCGACTGGACGGTTCCCAGGTGCCTCCGTCCCTGCCGCGCCCGCCGATGCTGCCGACCCCGCAGTTGACCCCGCAGTCCATCCTCGCTGGCACTCCTGCTGTGAGTGCGGGCGGGGTCCCCTCGCACCGACGCCACATCTGTTCGGCTATGTCCCAGGCGCACCACGCGGGCCTGGCGCGGTCGACCATCGACCAGCGCCCGCCTCCGTCGATGTATCCTCGGGCGAATACGTTCGATGGGTATCCTACCGTGCGTCGGTCGTCGTTGGCGCGGTCCAGCTCGTCGGCATCGTCTCCGGACTCGATGGTCTCGGATGTGTCGACCCTGTCCTCGAGCTCGCGGTCGTCCTCGGTCTCCTCCAGCTCGGCCTCGGGGCCTGGGGCGGTGTCTCTCCCCCGCCTGGCCACCCTGCGCTGCACCAACAACTCGCTCAAGGACGGCCGCCGACCGCTGAGCGTCGTGTCGCCCATCGACGAGAGCGTCTTCAGCGACTTCTACAACTCTCCGGATATCTACGGGGCGCCGCTGAGCCATGCGCCGGACTTCTCCCGCTTTTCGCTGGGCACGCCGGTCGACCTGAGCTCGGCCCACGAAGCGGCCCAGGGCCTGTGTGAGCTGTCTGGTGCGGTGTCTCGTCCGACCACTGGCCCCAGCCAGCGACCGTGCCGGAAGCGTGGTCGCGCGGGCTCGGACGATCTGCCGCTGCCGAACTATATCGCTGGCTCGCGCGGGGAGGCCCCGGTGCTCCCCAGCGGCCACGTGATGAATCGCTTCTTGAACTCCAAGACGCTCAGTGCAGCCCAGCTCCAGGCCCTCAACCACACCCCTCTCTCCGGTCCGGTCGGTATGAAGCGCGCTTGCTGCGGCAGCGAGACGCAGAAGATCGCGCTCCACCCGAGCGTGCGCGCCGAATACTGATCCCCTCCGACCTGTGGTACGATGGTGTTTACTTTACTTCTCCTTCTCTCTTTTATCACCGGCTACTTTCCTTGCTGTATGGAAGGGAAAAGTCATTATTGCATAATTTTATTTTTATGGGACGGATCTCGTCGACCGAGTGACCTGCTTGCCCCCGACGCCGCAGCCAACGCGGACAAGCGGTGGAAAAGTTAGCCTTTACTCTTCTATTCTCGTCTTGTACATACCGGGAGTTGATGGGTTAGTGAGTTAGCAGCGGCGTTGGGTGGCGGGCAGCCCCCGAGTGTATGATGTATGTGGGGAGCTTACTTGCCTTGCAATCATTTACTTTACTTTTACTTCCTTTGTCTATCTTGCTGCGGAGTGTGTGGATGGGGGGGGTTTGGTTTAACTGTCTTTTATTCTTTTCTTTTATCTGATTTTATCGTCCTGCTAGGCGGCTGGGTCGAATCTATGTTCTCGAGGAGTTGTCGGAGCTGGAGCCACATAGGTAGGATTTACAATGTATCTACATATTTATCTGTATACCTACATTTATTTACCTTTCGGATTACGAAAGTATACACAAATAGTATATCAGTACAGTAAGATCTGGACCAACAGGCAAGTGCCTCACGTATCGGACCACGGTTCATCAACGTACGTTCCATGAATAGACATGTAGTGGAGGGGGTAGCCTGATCAACATCCATGTGATACGTGATGTGACTCACTCATAGAAGGGATAGGTAGATCCATCCCTGTTCCATCACTTCCATAGTATTCCATCCCTCATCCACTCCACTGAAAGAGATGGCGCTGTGGCGTCGCGAATGAGTCACAGTCACGCAAGTGTGGAGAAGGGAGGGGGGTGGGTGGGTGGTCAGTGCCTGAGGCTAGCTAGGCAGAACTTCACTCGGGAGATATCGGATGTTGGGATGTCGAAAATGACTTGACCGCTTTAGGCTCGGGTGGGATAGGACGATAGATGGATGGTCACGGGATACAGGCAGGCTGTTGGTCACGGGATAATATGATATGATATGATGGCGGCCTTGGGAGGGCTGGCTAGCTGGGTTGGGTTAGGGCCATCTGATAAGATTGGTGTCTTCCTTTCCTTTCCCCTCACTTGCTTTGCTTGACATCGTCTGTTGATGTTATCTATCTATCTAGTATCTCATGGGTTAGGACTGTCTTCTGCTAGAGGACAGACAGACAGATAGACAGACTCTATCTGCGATAGCATTTCCATTCCTCCTGTTTCACCGCTGAAACAGCTGAGACAGTCAAGATAACCATGGCTCCTGCACTCACCGTCCTATTGCCAATCCTAGCTGCTCTCAACCCGCTTCTCTGCCTTGTTGGTGCAACGCCTGTTGATAGTAGGACTAGTACTGCTGGGCAGGTTATCCTCGGGGAGATAGACACTCCCCACTTCACCTTCACAGTCGACGACGACACAATCACCCTTCCCAACACCAACCCAGAAATCCAAACAACCACCCCACCCACCTGGTCCGAATCCACCCGCCTCGCGCGTCGTCTCCTCGCCCTCTCAAAAACAGGCTCCATAGCAAGCACATTCCCCGCCACGCACCCCCTCGCGGGCCTCCCCATCACCCTCCCCGAATACATCGCCGACTGCTCAACCGACGACGACGGAAACCCGACCCTCCTCGCCCTCCCCGTCTCAACAACCGTCCGCAACGCAGCAGCGGGATCAAACCTGTCTCTCTCGCTGGACTGGTGGAGCCACGTTGACTCCGCGCCGCCTGTGTTTCCGGGGTTCCCGCGCTCAGAGGCGGGGTTACCGCGTGTTACACTTATCGGGTATTTGGAACGGTTGGATTTTGGGATGGGGGAGGAGGGGGAAGAGGAGGTGAGGGCGTGCTTTTTGGAGAAACACCCTGATGCGAGTGCGTGGATTCCTGGGAGGAAGGGGGCGCCGCATGAGAGTTACTGGGCGCGGTTGGTTGTGGAGGGGGTTTATTGGGTGGGGGGTTTGGGGGGTTCAGCAGATTGGGTGGGTTGATTTGGGGGGTGGAGGGGGTTAGGAGGGAGGGGGGAAGGATGGGGATGGGAAGGGGTGGGGGGATGTGAGGTTGCCTGGGGAGTGATCTTCTGTTTTAGGGATTATTTGGATTGGATTGGGGGAGAGGGTATGGGGAGTGTGTGAGGTGGGAGTGTAGGGTATGGTGATGGTGATGAGGAAGAGGTTGCATGACGGATGGAAGTTGTCATAAGCAGTGCATTGCATTTGAGTATATATGCTTTTGAGATGATTGTTTTTGATTTATATAGCAGCAGAATGATACTTGGATAGTTAAATGATGAATGATGAATATGAATGAATGATGAGCAGCATTGATTGACTATATATTCAAGCGAATGAGATCTTACTTCTGCAATGGACCTTCCATTTGATTGACCTGGTTATTATTAGCCTTTTGTAGAGAGCAAAGAGTAGAGAGCAGCAGAGAGCCACCAGTAGTAGAATTAAGACCAATAGTAGAATTAAGTAGATCTACTGTAGGGCTAAGTACAGTAGTTTAAACCTAACCTTATTCTACATGCATACGCATAGTGCTTATCTTGTTTTGTTTAGTTCTATCTGTTCTATTCTATTCTTCTCTTCTCTTTCCTGAAGTATGGTTGTTAACTATATCTAGTAGGATGATATTCATATTGTGTAGTAGGGCTTTCTGATTGTTCGTTTTGATAGTATTCTATGTCTTTAGGTGATTCTATTGATAGGTCTGTTGCTTTTTGGACTGCATCCTTCTCTCTCTCCCTCTCTTATTGCCTGGTAGTAGTCGCAGTAGCGGGTATCGAGAAGACATGCTTGAAAGAATTGTTTAAAGCAAGACAGGAAAATAAAAATAACATGTGTGTCTATAGTATTCCACCGGGTATATCAACACGAATACTCCACAGCAACCTTCAAAACCTTGGATACACCCACAGACGCCCTCCCCGTCTCGCCTCCCTCCTGCCTCGCCCCCTCCAACCCCCTCTCAACAGCAGGCATGAACTTCTCCCGGAAAACCCTAAACCGGTCTTCCCGCGTCTCGTACATCTCGCCCTCCTCGTCGCGCGGCTGCCCGAACAAATTCAAGTACAGGTACGGCGTGGCCGTTCCCACGGCGACCATGTTTGCAGCTGGCTGCACAAGCGGGAAGACCCACGGCCCGCCGGCTTCGCTGTAGATATCAACGTCCGAGTCGGTGGTGTCCTGCGGGGCGATGCCAGCGTTGAGGAATTCAGCGAGGACGGTCAAGACGCGCACGACGACACCGCCGCCCTTCGCGCCCGACTTCCCGAACGAGGCGCGGTTCGCGGACCACTTGGCGCTCTCGGCGGTGTGCCAGCCCAGGACGGAGAGAAAGCAGTTCAGCGTTTTGATCCAGCCGCCAGCGCAGGCGACGACGTCTTGGCCAGCGGTAGAGAGCAACCATGAGAGGGCGTCGATGGCGGAGAGACGCACGTCGGGCGCGAGGTGCGTCATGCCTGCGCGGACGTAGGGCAGGATCTGCGCGACATGGTCTTGGATGTCTGTTGCTGGGAGGGCGCGGAGGAGTTTGAGGAGTTGCGTGCGGACGGAGCTGGCGCTGTCGAGGAGGAGGGGGAGGAGAGGCGGGAGGATGACGCTTGTTGGTTGGGGTGGGGGGCTGTTTGTGGGCCGCGAGGAGAGCGCTGTTGTTAGGTGGGAGAGGGAGTCGCGGCGTTGGGTGTCGGAGCGGGAGGTGAGGAGGGAGAGGTGATGGGTGAATTGGGAAGCGGAGGATGGGGCGGAGAGGGTGAGGGATTGTTGGTTTAGGGTGATTGCTGTGGTCTGTTAGTGGTTTTTTTTTTTTTTTTTTTTTTTTTGCAAAACGAATTGTGTAGGAGAACAGAATATAATATGAAACATACATTTCGATTTGAAGCTCGTGTCAGTGAAGTTTTCAGGCTTGGGTCTGGCTTTGCCGACTTTCAGCTTGGCTTTCTGCATACTGGTTAGACTTTGTTGGGTATGATGGCAGAAGAAAACGTACTTGAAAGTCCTTCTGCTTTTCCTTCTTCCTTTTCGTGCTGGCACCCATTGTGACGTGTGGTTGGTAATTGTGGAGATGAGGTTGAATTGAGGATGAAGAAATTATCTCCAAATCTGCTATCAGCACGTGATGTCACGTGGATTGCTCGGGTTTCCATTTTGGGATATCCCTTTGAACATCATGGATAGCAGTAGATACTAGATTTACAAAAAGAACATCATGATCGCTCGATTAGCCATTCTATCTCTCTTGAATTACCAGTGTATATAAGATGGTGACACGATGGCATAGGATCATAAGTCCACACAAGTCCTACCAACTTCGTTGCTATGCCAAGTTAATGTACTAGAAGGACCCAAGCTAAATAGGAATGCAGAATGCAGACAGCTATAGGGAATGTCATCGGAGGCATTCTATGAAGTATATCTTGCAAATAAGTTCGACTATCACTCCTGCCACAGGACTAGAGTGATGATGCCTCGCACCTTCCAGCCATCATCGGGTGCTCGCTTCCGTCGGCAGATGCCGATCGATTCCTCTTTTTATAAGGCCATCTCCCCGCGAGGATGTCTCACGGTACGGAGTACGACACAGGCATTCGACATCACGTCAAGAGACAGAGAAAATGATTCTAGACGCTCTTCGTCTTCGTTCCACGACATCCTCGCCGTCTGCTGAACAAAACCATCCCTCCCGACGAAAACAGGAACAACACAATACATGCAAAGAGAAGGATAAAACCAAGAACTACCTCCTCAAAATCAAAGACCTCCCTCCCTGGGCAGACCCAAACCCTCACATCCTAACCTCCTACCGCCCCTCCAGTAACAATATCCTCACCTCCCTCGCTAGCATCTTCTCCCATCACAACGAAACAGCCAACATCCACACGCACCTCGTCCCCGCCGTCCTCCTCATCCTCCTACTAACGCACTCCACCCTCTACACCTACCTGGTCACCAAGTACGGCGACAGACTAACCCCCTTCGACTGGGGCATCATCGTCACGCAGCTGCTCACCGCAACAGGCTGCCTCCTCGCCTCAACCCTCTACCACACGCTTCTCAACCACTCCGAGCGGGTAGCAGAAGTATGGCTGGCAGTCGACTACGTAGGGATCATCGCGCTCACGATGGGTGACTTCGTGAGCGGGTTGCACTTTGGGTTCTACTGTTTTCCGCGTATAAAGTTCTTTTATTGGGGGCTTGTCTGTCACTGTTGTTTCATGACTATGCCCTTACAATGTGCTGACTAGACGTGTAGATCGCAGTTCTGTCGATTTTATCGGGCATCGTACTGCTGAGCCCGAGATATAAAAGCGAAGACCACCGTCTGATCAGAGTGGGTGTCCTCGTCGCGACTGGGCTGTCGGCGTTTGCGCCCATCGGACACGCGTGGATACGTTGGGGAACGGCGTACGTGATGGGCATTGGGGTGGGATGGTATCTCCTCGAGGGAGCCTGTCTCATCCTTGGCTGTTGGCTATGGATTGTGAGTTTTCCCTTATCCTCTGCTGTTCTACAACCTATCTACGTTTGTTCTTCTCAGGCGAGCAGAGAACTGAGTGTGTGCAGACGCGGTTCCCAGAATGCCTTTACCCCGGCCGGTTCGATCTATGGGGTGGATCTCACGCGCTGTGGCATGTTTTTGTGGTGTTATCCATTGCAGCGCACGTCGCTGGCTTGTTGAAGGGCGTGGAGTTTAGTTACCACGGGTTGTGTGCTCACTGATTTGGTGTTATATTTGGGGATGAGGTGTGTTAGCATGTCTTATCTTGACATTCGACCAAAACCAATTGGCGATTGGTAGGCTTTTAATATCCAGCGATATGGACAGAATTGTGCTTCAAATACAGCTGCTCTGTACACCATGTATGGTGTAGAAGTAAATTACTAGAGCGACAGAATGTACTATAGAATAACATTTATCCAGGTAATGCTAAGCTGAATCAGCACCGGCATAACCGGGGCACAGCCGAAATGACGTCGATCGGCGGGGTTCTGCATCATCCGAGGAATCTCGCCTGTTGTAACACTTCGGTTCTTTTTCTCTTGTACCTTAGTTCAGCTGCTGCCATTATATATCCGATCCACCATCCTGACAACTATCCTGTACGTTGTTTCCGTGGTATTCTCATTAATGCTCTCCCGACAGCTTCTGACTATCCCACTGCGAAGGTCCTTCCTCGCGTCTTTTAAACCACTTTCAACCACAACACGTCCAATTCGCTTCATCCACTGCTCATCATCCAACATGTCTGGTGTTAGCAAGGCTTGCTGCTCGTACGTATATTGACAGACACCAATGATTCCTTCAGCCAGCTAACAACATTAGTATCCCCCCCGTCGTCGCCAAAGGCTACCAAGCCAAGGGCGAATACAAGACCATCAATGGCCTGAAGACCTGTACGTCCAACAACCGACCCAACTCCACCTACACATCGCTAACCATACCAGACGTGACCGGCCCCGAGTCCGCCACCAAAGCCATCCTAGTCGTCTACGGTGAGCCCCCCTCCCCAAGATATCCCCCCCTATCAACCAGCTAACAAGAAACAGACATCTTCGGCTTCTTCGACCAAACCATCCAAGGCGCCGACATCCTCTCCACCGCCAACACCCAAAAATACCGCGTCTTCATGCCCGACTTCTTCCAGGGCCAACCAGCAGACATCTCCTGGTTCCCGCCCCAAACCGACGACCACAAGCAGAAGCTCGGCAACTTCTTCCAAACCAAGGCTTCCCCCCCGGACACACTCTCCAAGATCCCGGGCGTCGTGTCAGAAGCTAACCAGCTCGCTCCCGGCGGTACTTTCGACTGGTCCATCCTGGGCTACTGCTGGGGCGGCAAGATCGCGTGTCTTGCCTCCGGCGCCGAGAACAAGACGTTCAAGGCGGCTGTGCAGTGTCATCCGGCCATGCTGGCTCCGGATGATGCCAAGGCCGTGGGGATCCCGATGGCGGTGTTGGCGTCCAAGGACGAGAACCCGAAGGATGTAGAGGCGTTCGGGGCGAATCTGAAGAAGGCGGAGCATTATGTGGAGACTTTCTCGACGCAGATTCATGGGTGGATGGCGGCGCGCTCGGATTTGGAGGATGCCGAGGTGAAGAAGGAGTATGAGAGGGGGTATAAGACTGTGTTGGACTTTTTGCATAAGCATGCTTAGCTTGCTTAGGAGGGGTGTTTGTAATGTTGACTACTTAGCTAGCTAGCTAGGTTTGTCTTGCATTCGCTGTAACCACCAACCAACCCGGCACAAAAGCGAACACACGAATATCAAATAATGAATAAATGACTTCAATCTATCCCTACATACAATCATAAACCCATAATCAAAACCGCAATGGAGAATAAGAAAAAGAAAAAGATACCTAGGGCAAACACACTTCCCCATCCGGTAAGCAAGTGGACCCAGCGGCGAGACCGCGAAGACGTCACCACTATAACCACACACTTTCTTTCCACCATGGTTAGGCCCCATGTCGTATGGAAAGAGTGAGTTGGCTGGTCTGTTCTTCCGGTCGGGCCAGCCGGGCTAGAATGGTCGTTTCAGTGGGATTAGGTGGGTGGGTAGATTAGTCGCCTCGAAGCTTGCCCTCGTTTCGCTTTACTTTACATACCCTACCTCAGTATTCCTGCGCCTACAACGAAGCCAGAAGCCAAACCAGACCACGTTATACATACATACATACAAAGCCAAGCCGAGCTATCAACGCGGTTTCTACATACCTGTCTTACAGACTCATGGCCGTGTCGTGAGATCGATCGATCGACAATTCTCAACGCACCCAGTTGACCGTCAGTTCATTGAAAGGTCATACTGATCAACCGCACCTACAACCCCCACATCCCCAGCGCCAACCCCAACCCGACATGCCACTCTTTTTCGGCCGCCGCCACTCCATCTCGGGCGGCACGCAGCCCGAAGAAGACGGAATAGTGAGAGACCGCGCGCGGAGACGCACCTCGCTGCCCGATTTCCGCAGCGTGAGGCGAGGATCAGGCTTGTTCCAGGGTCTGCTGCGCCGGCCGTCGAAGGTTTCTGCGTCTGCGCCGCCGTCGCCGCCTCCTGAGAAGGAGGAGCCTCCTTTGGTAAGTGGATTACCTCTGAGTATGGGATGGGGTTTAGAAGGAGGGAAAGTTGCTAATGCTGGTATATAGAAACGTTCGAATTCAGCACCGAAAATCCCAGCAATCACAGTACCACCAGGCGTGGTCCCCTCGCCACCGCCTAGTCCCCGAGAGGGCATCATCCAGGCGGAGGTTCAGCGCGAGCCGAAGCGTCGAGCAGGGGAGTATCACCGCGTGACATCTATTGACACTGTGCTTGGACGAGATGACATCGAGCATATATTCTCCGGGGCGCCGTATTTCCTGCTCGAGAAGGGCAAGTATCGCCAGTACTACCCGATCGTGATCTTCCCGCTCGACGACCACGACTCGACGATCCAGAACCTCTGGGACAGACAGCTTCTGCCGCATGCAACCTACACGCTGTGCACGCTGCACGCGCACCTGCCCGTGCCCGAGGGATGGGTCAACGAAGGCGAGACGTCCGTGCAGCTGACGCGGTGGACGAAGGTGAAGGCGCCGAAGCGGGCGACGTTCGACGTGGGGCTGTTCGAGGTGCCGAACATGCTGACCATGAACGGGATCGAGCCGGGCACTGTGGGGTTCAGCCACTTCCTGGAGATCCCTGTTGGAGACGCGGCGGTTTTCAACCCGCAGGCGAAGACCGGTCAGCAGAATGGGTGGCTGCGGCTGACGAACTTGAGTGCTGTTGAGGCGTACGAGCTGATGGAGCATCATGGGGAGCCGTATGCGCAGTGCAAGGACGGGACGAACCATGATCGGAAGCAGCTGTTGCATAATGGGCCGAGCGCGTGGAAGCGGATTGGGGTAAGGGATATCGAGCTCCAGGCGCTTGTGAACAGGTTGCAGTTTTTGAAGGAGCTGCGCAATGATATCCTGCATAAGGAGGGGAATGCGGCGGGGACGATTCTAGATGTGGAGAGCGCGGGCCAGTTGTATACGGGGTTGTTTACGAAGTTCCTGTTTCCGCCGTCGCGGTTTATGACCGTGGGAGTGGACGAGCCGCGCGGGCTGAAGGCGCAGATCAAGGCGATTACCACGGTACTGGCGACGCCGGGGGCGTGGTTTGATTTTTGCTATGTGGACTGGCGACTGCATGCCGGGCAGCTGCTGTGGGAGTCGGCGCCGCACGCAGACGGCGACTTCTTCGACTCGTCGCAGAGTGACCGGCCGTGGGTGTTCCCGTCGCTGGAGCGCAAGTGGTTCCTCATCCAGATGCTGCTGTCGGCGGAGCTGCTGCTCCGACTGGACGCGAGCGTGCGCGTGGGGTTCCTCCGTCGCAGCGGCGGGCTGAGCATTTCCGCCCGCGACGTGCAGAACTTCGACCAGCTGCGGACGAAGAAGGTCGACTGGGACCTGGTGGTCGCGCGGCGGTTCATGGACAGTTTTGATTTCAGCTACGGCGTTATCGAGGCTGGCGAGGTCCCGCGGAAGAAGCAGCAGCAGCAGCAGCAGCAGCAGCCTGGCGTGCGGTCGACGCAGCAAAAGGCCGCCGCGAAGCGCCGCCACCTGGCGTTCTTAGAGAGTCTGCGACACAGGCCGTCGACTCCGACGCCGCCGTCAACGAACCAAGATAACACCGAGTCGGCGTGGAAATGCAACCTGATCCCAGGCCGCGTCGACCAGCAGCTGGTCGGGCTGTACGTGTTCGCGGAGATGATCGGCTGGCCGCAGATGGACGACCTGAAGAAGCGTCTGCGGTTCAACCTCGGCGAGGGCGAGCTCAGCCAGCAGACGCTGGACGCCTTCTGCCGACCGGTGCACAACGCCCCGCCGGAGGACGTGGCGGCGACCCTCAAACCAAGCGACATGTACACGCGCACGCGGTCCTACCGGCCTCTTCTCCTCCAGACCCCGGGGAACGAGAGCCCCGGCTCCAGCACCGTCGGCGGGTGGGTGTCGCGCACGTGGCTGTCGGGCTTCGTGATGCCCGGCGACATGATCAGCCACGTGCTGCTAGGCACAGTGTTAGAGAACACCCCCGACGCAATGGCCAAGCTGGGCCCGCTAGCGAACCTGCACGGCGGATTCGCCTACAACGGCCGCAGCTGGTGGAGCAAGGAGTGCGTGATCGGACGCGTGCTGGCCCCCTCCCCGCCACCAAACACTGCCTCGCGTGGATGGGCTGCGCCATCCTCCCGCTGCACACCAACACGGGCGACCGTCTCGACGACACCTGGCTGGAAGTCGACACGCTCGAGCCGCCCGCCATGCAGGGCACAGCGCGCATCAAAGCCGGCCAGCGGCTGTCGATCGACTCCTCGCCCTTCGGCATGGGCGGCCTCACCAGCGGGACGTTCTCGCTGCCGAAGGACCCCCCGCTGGAGCAAGCCGCGCGGGTGCAGATCGACTTCGACGACCTCACGCTCACGGACCTGCCGTCAGCGCTGCAGTCCACCAGCGAGCACCGCGCGAGCTCCAAGCGCGCAACGATGTCATTCAGCCTGGCGACGGAGTCCGAAGACTCGCACCAGTTCTCGGAGCCCAGCATCGTGCAGTTCCCGCTCAAGTACAACGTGCGGTTCGTCTCCAGCCACGAGTGTCGCACGCCGGCGGGGTTCATCTCGTACCAGAGCGAGCAGGGCCAGCAGCCGCAGCTACGCCACCACCGACGACTGCCGGGCCACCCGCTGCATCGCAGCTTCTCGTACCGCACGGTGGGGCTGGATGGGCTGCCGGGCCCGCACGCGCCGGGGACGTCGTTCGCGCAGAGCATTGGGCTCAGCCATGAGGAGGTGGTGGTTGTGGATGCGCGGGGGAGTCGCGAGAAGGAGACATTTGCGCGAGCATGGTGCGCGGCGGTTGGGTACCATGCGATTGTGGGACGGGTTGGGCGGACTTGTGTGGCGTGTTGTGTGCGCGAGGCGCGGGCGTTGTGTGTGAAGGTTGTGATTCGGGTTGGGGAGGGGGGGAGTCGGAATCCGTCGATTGTTGGGTATTGAGGGGTCATATGTTAAGATGGTGTATATGTTGAGTGTATATGTTTGAGCATGGTATATGCGAGGATAGGGTAATTGTGTATAGGATTGAGAGTGGAGGTGGATAATGGTCATCATGTTTGATACCTGTATGGTGCAGAGGTAATCAAAAGTTACTACATTTACCAAGTAGTATAATTTGTATCTATTATTGATTATCTATACTCCTACACAACTATAAACATATATCATACTACCAGCGTACATGTACAATAGGACTAAAGAAGTTCGAAGGATATAGAGCCGAGGCCACGTAAAACACGCGGTCAGCGTCAGATCCCAAAGCAGCCAAGTGGCCGAGGTGAAACAGCCGGCGTGGAGGATTATATTATAATTATTCATCAACTACTATATATAAAGTGAATGCATCCGTAGTATGTGTAGAGACAGTAGAGTTATACTAAAACTAACCGTTATCAATATAGGAGATATGGTTCAGTCATACCGAAACCCGTCCTCTAGACTACGGGGACTCCGTCTTATGCTACAGCCGATATAGAGTCCAGGTGGGGCTCGGAGAATTTGTCGGACTCGCATGCTTCATGCAGGAGGCTGCATTGAGTTCAGTCCCTGCAGCTGTCATCATCTGGTATACTAAGCATACTACGAGCACGGAGTCTCCGTGCTCGTAGTAAATTATATACGTATCTGTATACTGAGTCTACCGAGTGTAATAGTATAATAGTATACTGTATACTAGTATAATAGTATAATAGTATATTATCCTCAAATAAGAATGAATAAAATTACCCCGACGATCGCAGCCTCCGCTTACGTAGCGAGAACCCCGTCTGGAGACCGATCCTATTACAATGGAGAGACTGGGATAAGGATCAAGAAGATGAGGATGACGAAAGGAGCAATCTCCACGTTGACTGAGTCGTGGTAATTACAAATAATATCTTGATCTAATATAGAGGTGTATGACTATGACTATGGAGTAAGGAGAGAATAAGGTCAGACTAGTAGCCTTGTTCCATAGGGTCCTCATTAGTGATATTTGAGGTATTTTCTTCTGCTCCATTGTTCATATTCTCTGAATTCTGACTCTGAGCATTTGAAATTATCATAGATATCAATCTGCTCAAGATGGTATCCACTGCCAGTCGGTGAGCTTATATGCTCGCATGCCAAGAGACTAGGATGCAGATATGATCCCTAATTAAACCTTGAGTCGGCCCACCCCTTAATTTGACAGATCTGTGGCGGTGCTTTCTTATTTATAGATGGTGAAACCATCTCATCAATGCAATCCATGGAAACAGAGTATATAAATAAATAGATAGAATAGAATAATTCTAATAAACAAATCAAAGAAATCAAACAAAGAAATCAAATCAAAGAAAAAGGGAATCTGGGTAAATGATGGATAAATGAATGGGTCGGCCAATCATCGGGGTCCGGTCAAATAACTGATGACGACTCCTCTGGTGGATCTAACCGGTTCGGGTTAGATCGGGGTCTCATCTTAGTTTGAACTCTTCTCGAACTTCTTTCTCTCTTCTTTACTCGACGTCGTTCTCTGGGCAAATGAAGTCCTGACTCCACTCTCATATTGATCTGGTCCATTCAGGTGGTTAGATTCAAGATACCCATTGGAACCGACGGGGGAGGTGGAAGGGATCAGGGGTTGACCTGTCCTTCTATTATTATCTTCTCTTTCCTTTCCTGTCTCTATACGATACGACTATACTACGGAGTACCTGCATTATCTCTGATATAGAGATAGTCTACTATAGTATATAGTATACCATCATAGTGTATCATAGTATAGTATAGATACTATACGTGATAGACCGATAGGAGTCAATCAGCATATTCAGCTCTGGTCCATCGTTCAGCTGTCCACCCAGAGATCCGGTCGATGACTTGCCTCTTTCGTCCAGACCCTTATCCACTGTGGATTCTTCCTTTTCCTTTCTATCTTCCCTCATCTTCATTTCCTTCCATTGTTGTTGGATTTTGTACCTTCTTGGTATTCTGGTCTTTCCTACTGTAGCAATATTCTATACTATCCGTATATTCTAGTCATAGCCTATATCCTAATAGTATGTAGTGATATCTATATCATGTCCCTGACGCCAACGTAGCTTAAATTGGCCAAAGTCAATCCGATCCATCTAAGCCTAAATCAATATCATTTTGCAATAGGTCATGAATTATCCCTTCTCTTCTTTTCTTCTTCTGTTCTTTCCTCCTCCTCCTCCTCCTTCTTCTTCTTCTTCTTCTGCTTCTTCTTCTTCTTCTTCTTCTTCTTCTTCCCTTCTATTCTTCCATTCTATCCATCTATCAATCCACCAGCCCAGTGTCATGCTGTTCTCTCCACTCCATCAGCCCTGCCCCTAATCCAATCCCATCCTAATCCAATCTAACCCCCAGAATATCCTTCTAGAACACTACACTCCTAATCTAAATCTAATTACTTCTACCAATTCCCCTCGTGGGCCAACTACTACTTCCCCCCCCCCCCACCCCTTTCCCCGTGGGCCAATTTACCCTGCACTTTCTGTGACATACTCCCTCTCATTTGATACATTCCACCCATTCCCTCCGCTTCCCTCCTCCAGTCATCGTCGACCCTCATATTACTCGAATGATACCCTATCCCCTCTCCTGATTCTTCCCTTTTTCTCTCCTGGGGCTGTCTTTCGGCTCTTATTCTTTGTCCACTCCCGGCATCCTTCCTCACGACCTTCTCCCCTCCCTACCCTCTGACGAAACACCGTCCCCTGCAACTCCGGTCGTGGGTGGGTTCCGCCGACCTGCAACTAATCCGCCTGAAACATCCTAACAGCCTATCCTTCGACTGCCCCTACAACCACCGGAGATTCAGGGCATTCGGTCGTTCTCGTCTATCCTGTGCTGTCACCGTCGAGAGATCCCTATCTCTCCTCCATTTCCCTTTTGTTCTCTCGGTGCGATCTCCGTCCCGCCTACGTTTAGATGGTCGACCGTTGCGATCCCCTCCCTCCGCGACTCTTAGTCTCCGTCCACTCCACGACGCGACCTTACCCACCCATCCTATCCCCCCATCCGTCGCTGGTGTGGTGCCATTGATGCGCCCTCCGTCTTGGGGTTCCGCTTCCTCGCCTTCTCCCCTGGAGCGATGCCCGCCGTCCTCGAAAGCATGACCTCCACCCCCAACTCCCAGAGCCTCGTCATGGACCCCTCCGCCGACAAGAAGCGCAATAAACTCGGGTACCATCGCACGTCGGTCGCATGTGGTGCGTCTTCTCATCTCCCTTGTCTGAGAATGCTTTGACCCGTTAGAGAATGTTTCCCGGTCACTCATGCGAAATGCAGTCCATTGCCGACGGCGGAAGATCCGATGTCTCGTCGCGGCCGGCGACGCCCAGGGTCGCTGCGAGAACTGTATCCGCCTGCGCAAGGAGTGCCAGTTCTACCCCGTCGACCAGCAGCCCCCCGTCGAAAAGAAGTCGCGCCCCAACTCCCAACTCGAATCCGCCTCCACCGACCCCTCCACCGCCTCCTCCTCGCCCCCACCGGTGGGCGGTGGTGGTAGCGACCAGCCCGACGCATTCTTTCCCTACCCCCCCATGCCGCTGAGCTCCGGCCCCGACGGAACGACCTTCAACCCCAGCGCCTTTGCCGCCGATCCCATGGCATCCTTCGTACCAGGTTGGTGGCGCCCATCTATTGCCCCGACACCGAACCCCACACGCCCAGTGACTGACCAAGAATGGGGATCAGGCCCGCCGGTAGGGTCCGCCGAATTCACCGCCGCTCCCCCGTTAGATCCCTCCGTCCCGTGGGACGAGTTCACCACCATCTCCGATCCGCAATTGCTCGCCAACATGGCCGGCGGGAAACAGGCCATGATGAACAGTGTGCCCCCCGCCATGTGGAGTCCACCCCCGAACGCCATGGCCCCCGTGCCCGCCCCCTCCACCATCCCGAGCACACCCACCGTCCCCTCCCAGACCCAAGCCCTCAGCCCGGCCTCAACGTACACCCTCCAGCCCGACGGCTCCGTCTGGCAGATACCCCCGCGATCCATGCCGTTCGCCGCCCCGCCAGACATGACCGCGCAGCCCTACCCCCGAATCCGAACTCGTATCCGCCCATGCCCCCGACCTCAAACGCCGCGTGACCAGCCCGCGCAGTCCTTCACCGGCGGCCCCGTCCACCCGCAGAGCCCTCCACCGTCGGATCTCCCCACGGCCGTGATGTCCGTCTCCTACCCGGGCCAACCAACCGCGGTGGGATTCCCGGGCTGGCCAGACGTCCACGGCATGTCATCGATGAACATGGTGCAGTACCCCATGTTTGCGGGCGATCCGTCACAGCAACCGCCGTTCAACGGGGGACCACCCATGGGACATGGGCATCCGGGGGCGTCTCCGGGGTGATAACTAGACCGGCCGATTTGTAGACTGGCCTAGATTTCATGGCCACTTTCAACTTTTTCTCTGACCACTCTTCTTTTTGAACCCTTTTTTTTTTTTTTTTTTTTTTCTTTTTTCCTTTGTTTATCTTTCATTGGACACTTTAAATCTGCAGTTGTTATTAGCGGGCGCAGATGGTTTGTTTTGGGTGGCATTTTATTCGCTTCTTGCACAGAACCTACCTACTTTGGTTTCGAATCGGTCGAAACTGCTCTAGAAAGAATCTCCGTTCGGCAAACGTTCGATTTATCTTTGTTTTCTTTCCGGTTTGGCTAGACCCGTCGTCTGCTTTCGGCATTGCAGTCCGCTGTCCACGCCACTGGACGAGTTGAGTTCAGCAACGCCTGGCGATAGACCGATTGGGTGACCCCAGTCTATTTATATACTATATATACACACCGGGAACCGGGATACTAACCTATCACGTCCCGCTTTACATTATATCCAGCTATACCCTGGTCCAACGGAGTCTGATTCTACCTACCTATCTATCTATCTATATACATCCTGCATGGTCTACTCTCTGGGAGATCTATACCCCATCTCATGTTTCACGCCGTCTTCCGTTCTGTTTTCCACTGTGTTTATTACCTATCTGCTATAGACTAGATTGGGTTATCTTCTATATATGTGTATGTGTGTATGTATGTTTCAATTATTTGCCACGGGCTAGACCGGTTGTATCTTTGCAGATCATCTTCGTGATAGATAGGTAGAAGTGGGAGTTAGAAGGAAATGGAAGGGACTGAACGAGAGACGGCTGGGCTTTATAGTGTTTGTCTGACTAGATTACGATGCCATGTTGGGTATTTACACTTATCTTCCGATTCACCTATCTATTTTTATATTATTTATGTATCATATGTGTTACACGATGGGACAGTCTTGAATGACCTCGTTCTTCTTTAGCAAGCTAGTCTATCATACTCCTATACCTATGTTCCACAGCGTCTTACAATAGGGTATAGGCATATTATGCATACATATCCAGATAAAGGTATGCAACCCAGTTAGGTATTTAGGCAAGGTACGTAGGTAGGTAGATTAGATAGGTGGTAGTAAACGTAGGTTACCAACATACAACACAAGCTATACATACATACACTGATAGAGCAGCGCTGTACACTATTTTAAGGGTGGAAGTAGCTGGAAGGAGGTGAGTGATAAGTACCAACCCATCCACGGGAGTATCCAATTAATTGAAGATACATATGAGTTAGACCATACAGAGCCTACTGTTTTATCTTACATTTCTCGATTCGCCTGTTTTGGGCATAGATGTTTGCATGGATAGCTTGCTTACTGGTAGATACTGTAGATACTGTAGATAGGTAGAAAGCTACGTCTGGGTACTACGTACTAGGTCCATATTATAGGGGCGAGAGGAGTGTTGTTTATTATCTATTTGCTGCTATGCAGTATGTGTATACTAGGTAGGTAGGTTGGTCGGTACCGTAGTATATACATGTGCGTATGCAGTATACAGTATGTAGCGTGTGCACACCGCTACCTAGGTAACTCGTTAAACCTACCTAATTGGTTCTTCCTATGATGTTGAAGTCATGTGAGGAGGGAGTCGAGTATTTCGGGAGTATGTTGTATACTATGCTGTATTCTGGGACTGGAACGATGTATGCAGTACGTGGTATGTGGTAGGTTTATGGTGAGTTGGATATACTTGCTGGTTCTTGCTTGGATGGGCGAGGTTTGATATGGTATATAGGTCTAGAGTAATGGGGGTGTCTCTATATCTATCTATAGACCTTTTATTTATCTGGAGGGCCCTGACCTCTACTTGTAGCAGTAGAGTAGTACAGTTCGTAGTAGTAGTAGGACGGAATAATAAAGTCCAGCAGGAGAGTGCCAGCTGTAAGCCAGAGTAACCAATAACCACCCCCCAAGCTATCTCCCACCCAGTCCATCCAACCTTAAGCCAGACAACTATCACCAGGGTCCTCAAACACCTCACTCCGATACCTCTCTCAAAATGAACAGCATTCTGTATTTCCGCGGCGTGACCCCTCAAATCAATATATCAACTCATCTACAGCACTACCCACCTATCTATCTACCCAGCCAATTTCCTCCATCACCCTTATCATCCCTCAAAGATAAACCACCACCGATGAACGACAGGGTCTCCCATCCTGCGCTGACGTGACCGACATGACGTGTGTCTTCCCGTCTTCTTATCTGAAGCTGTGCGGTTAACATTGTTGCCTGCCCGATCTTGACCGACTGTTGTTAGCAGTACATAATGCTTCTATTCCCCTGTACTCGCTGTTTGTTTGTGTGATTGATATTTGACACTTTTGGGTGAGTATCTGCTTTGGATCTGGTCAGTTACTGTTATTGTTTCTTATCGTCTATCTTTTCTGCCTTTCTTTATATATATATATATATATACCCCGAGGTATATAAGGAGTGGGTACCACATATCCAGCCTGTATCCCCCGACACCACCACCACCACCACCATCACCACCACACAATCTGACCAGGTCTAGATCAGCCTACGCAGCTCACTACCTCTCTGATCCTTTCCCACCACTCTAATGTGAAAAACAGCGGGTACCATCTTTTTAAAGCCACGCCGCATGCACGCCTCGCGGCCCGGTGCTCGGTTCCCCCCGGCTACTACTAACTGCTAGTCAGTTGCATTTCCATCCGATCCGCCGCACCCGCGTACAATTCTTGGCTGCTACAACACTACCAGGGGGACAATCCGCAAAAAGAAATAACACACCAAAAGACTATGGAATAAAAAAAAACCAAAGAATTGAAAAGACAAGAAAAAAGAGAATATGGTGGGATGATCGCTGCATCCAACCAAAATGGTCATGATTACTTTCCGTCCGACATGATTTTGCACGATGATCGCAAACACGCTCCCCGTTCGATATTACCAGCCAGCCAATTGCTCCGGACGGCACAGCCCGTTTCGAACCCCTGCTCGATGCATCCTGAAACCTTACTTTTCTTCCCGGGATGGCGATGGGTTTCAATCGTCCGATACAGATACAGAAGAAGGCTGTCGCCAGCTGGCTTGATCCCTGACATCATCGTCACTAACTACCACCGGGACGATCGCCAGACTGCTCCGCGTCGAACTAGCGTGGCTCCTCCAGTGGGACGACGACGGTCACTGACTGGTCTTTTTTTCTCCAGATATCCACTGCATGGGCCGCCTTTGTCCAGCAATGACTACGTCAGTCGCCGGGATCTTCCAGGGCGTTGTCGTCCTGATCTTCACGATGGCGAAGGTGTCAGATAGTGTTCGATACTCGGGACTGACCCTGACTACTCCGTATTCAATATGGAGCATTGGAGTTAGCTCCAGAACGGTGTAGTGGCTCCACCGGATGCGACAGCGACAATTCCGTGCCCAAACGCAGCCGAGGCACCCTGGTGTTTTAATATCGTTATTTATTTATTTTGCGGGCGATGCGAACGATCGATGGATTATCTATCGTCGTTGGTATGTTTTTTGTGACGTCGGATAGGCATTGTTTGCTTATGACGATTGGATTAATTTATCTCTGTGAAGTGAATGCTGATTTGATTTGAGCAGTGGCCGTTGCGCTAAGGATTGGAGCGGTTTGGTGGGCCGATGAGGCGTCGCCACTCAATTCAATTCCCCTCCTCCTCTCGCTTCTGGATTACCCTTGTGGGCGGAGTGCAGTCTGCTGCCATGAATCGAGTTTACGATCCAAACCGGCTGACAGGGTTTGAATCTTTTTCATTCTTTTCATTAATTTATTGATATAGACTTCTGTGGTGGTGGTACTTTTGTACTTCCGTCTTAGGAACGATTTGCAAATCATGGGGATTTTCCGTTTCCAATTCCCCTGACAACATGATTATCGCTATCATTGATGACCACGGCTAATTACATTCTTATCAGCTTATCTGGAGGGTTTATCTGGGATTGTCGTTTACCCACGAATATCAATCCACAGTTGCTGCTGTTAGCCTGTTAGCCTGCTAGTGGCGGTGGGCCCCCTCGTGGTCCATCCTCGATATTATCCTAATCCTCTGTGGGGCTGGCTGGCTGGCTGGTCGGCTTCAGCTGGCAAACCCTTCGAGAGGCTCGAATAGCTGTCTCGAAAAATAGCTGACCATCGGATACTAACACCCATAGCTGTCCTGTGCTTGGAGCTGTGCCAGAGCTGGGCTAGAGCTGTGCTCAGAGCTGGCGCTAGACAATGCTTCGTTGCGAGTCGCACTTTAATCCCCTCATGGTTAGCCCTGCCAATGGATTGGCGTTGGACCCTCCAGCTTGGCGGTTTTCACATTTGCCGGTTGCCTGTTGCCTGTTGCCTGTTGCCGTGTTGCCACGTCCGGGGACAATCGCTCCGGCTTCGATGATCCCTCCCTGATTATTTGTCGCTTTCTCACAGCCTCATCAACACGGCCATTAATACAGCTGAATGGGACCGACCGGGAAGGAAGAGCAGAAAGTGCGTGGACAAGACATGTGGAAGATCCTTTCGCCCACAAACCCGGAAAAGGAATGCTGATCAAGCAATGCTGATGACGGCGGTGACCGATCCATCACCTTTGACCAGCAGCCTAACCAGCGTCCACCAAACTAACAGCAGAGCAAGCAGCAAACAGCACCTACTACTACCCTTTTTAGGTTAGGGCCCCTGCGATGGACAACCTCCCGGTTAGATGACAAGAGCCCCGCAAGACCATCCAAAGTGGGGCTCGAATCAATCTGAATCTTTGAGCTTTACCGGGAGGGGAAGGTTTAGTAGGTACCGACATGGGCTGGTCGTACCCTGTGAAATGCCATGACCAGTGTTACCGTACGGAGGTACAATACCAGGTCTGTACGTCTATCGGGTAAGATAGGAACGGAGAGTGGTATAGCTTTGGAGCCCTCTGGGGCCAGCGCATCCTTCTCTTCTTCTTTTCCGGCTTCTTTTCCACTTTTACTTCCTTTTGGTCTACTTTTCCGTT